TTATCTGAAATGTCTGAAGAAGTGGTTTTGTATCCAGCTCGATACTCAACTCAGTCAAAATAAATACAAGTTTCAGAAAAACTACAGTTCTATCAGCTCTTCATCCTTCTCCTGCGTAAAGAAGTACGACACAGTTTCCCGAAGAAACTCCAGTATCTTCCTCCCGCTGGTCACATAGCAGATCTTGTACAGGAACTCTCCAAACATCACCAACACAAAGAGTACAAGCAAACTTAGAAAGATGCGGTCCACATGGTAAAGCACCTTCTCCTTGAGCGTGCGCTGATCCCAAGGAACTGCGGCTCGAGCCTCGCTGTATTGGCCAAAATGCAGCAAGGCCTCCTCATCACTGTTCATCTCCTGCTCCTCAGCGGCTCCATCATCTTCTGCCATGCCGAAAAACTCTCTCCACGAGCTTAACCTTTAAAAATTGCTTCTGTGATGAAATTGTGAAGACCTTTTGTGGCTCTGCCCTGCGCGCGGATGAAGAATAAAGCCTGTGGTAATTGAATTGGCAGCAGCTTAATTAGTTTGAAGCCTCTTTTTTAATAGCTGAAGTCGGAGGAGATACAAAGGATGGCCTATTTAGGTGAACAGAACTAATTAACTGCAGCTATTTGATGTATTTTTTCTCTCCATTGTGCTGGTCGGAGCTGCTGTGTGCCGGACTGAATAAAGCAGGCCGATTATTTGATGAACTCACACCTCGCTAAGGAGATCACCGGGGTTTAGTGACACTCAGCACTTCTCAAAATCCTACAGGAACAGATGGCAGATGATGTGGAATGGGGCTGGGAGATGCTTACCAAACATGACTAGTTTTTAGTACTATTTTAATATGGGCTTTTTAGGCGGGGAGGGGGTGGGGGTAGTAAACTGTTTATATAGAATAACTTTACTGATACGATAATAACTTTAGGCTATTAGTTACTACCTAGGTAGCAAAGAATTCTGGCCAAGATTTGGCATAAATCTCGCACAGGAGGCAAACTTCCAGCATGTGGGCCAAACATGGCCTGGGTTTGGCAGAGGTGGCACCGTCTTTAAGGCGGCACACAAGATTTGGGCCAGATGTAAAATGTAGCATTTGGCCCAGATGTTAATAATTGATATGTGGGACTCGCAAGTTTGGCCTGTCTTGACCCACATTTAAAATACTTTAAAATATTTTTGAGTAATGAAAAAGTTCTACCAATCAATCATGTCGCTTTGAGGAAAAGCACAGCCATAGTGTGCTTAAAGCACAATGCTTTATGGGTTTATCAATTTTATTGCAAGCGAGACACATCCAGCTTATCTGGCCCAGTTCAGACCAGTTCTGAGTTTGTAACTTGGGTGTGACTTGACCCAGATATAGTCCATGTTTGGCCCTTGTCTGAACTGTCTAAGCTAACTGAGTGTGTAAAAGATGTTAAAGACTGGATGACCAACAATTTTCTTTTCTTAAACTCAGACAAAGCAGCAGATCTCACAACTCGAGCTGCAATTAGAGGGATACAACAATAGCATTAGCTTTACTATAAAAGATCTGGGTGTCATATTAGACAGCAATTTAACTTTAGAAAATCATATATCCCATGTCACAAAAACTGCATTCTTTCATCTGAGAAATATCACTAAATTACCAAGTATGCTATCCATCTCTGATGCAGAAAGCTACTGTAAGCTGAGAAAATATTATATACTTTTCTTTCTATGCTAATGAAGGACTTCTGAGACATTCCAAGCGTGGGATGGGTCCTCCTGGTAAGGCAGAGTTCCTCACAGTTCCAATACACATCTCTGCCATTTGCTTGCAGTAACCATGTGCTCTTCACCATACACAATTCATCTGCTCGTGTTCTTCTTTCAGATAACTTTGTCATGTTTGGTGTCATTTGACAGTTTATGACTTCAGTGTTGTAGTGATGAAATCAAAAGAGACATTGATTAATTGTATTTCAATCTACAATATATTTACTATTGTTGGGCCATGGCCTGAGGAGAGTATGTTAATGTACTTCTCCCCCACTTCATCTCTTCAACTTTGCTCTCACGTTCAGCTGGTTTTGGGGGTTGGTTTTCACTCATGTTGGACAATGCTTTGCTCAGGGTATAATAGGGAAAGGTAACTGTTGATCTGGGAGAATGGCTTTTACTCTGCATCTCCCGCACACTAGTGCGTAGCCTCATATGCTAACAAAGGCAGTTTCACTGTCTTTGTTGCTCAGCAGTGCATACGTTACAGCTAATTTCTTTATACAGTATGTTAGTTTGTTTCATTCTAATGTCTGTATATTTGATCATGTAACTTAATAAACAACTTTGCCTACTTTAAGGCATAGAGATTCTTTCCCTTTATCAATGATGATAACAACTTTTAATGGAGTCAGATTAATTACAATAGAGTCAGATAAATAACGGATTTAAACCTGCCATCTTTCAACTGCTTTCTGTTTACGATTATTGGTTCAGAATAGCAGCGTAAGCTTCAAGCCTTACGCTACTCCATGCTTTTATGACCTCTAGGCTGGATTACTGTAATGCTGTTTGCTGGCTGCCCAGCATCCTCCATTAATAAACTTCAGCTAGTATAAAACGCAGCTGCCAGAGTTCTTACCAGGTCTAGAAAATATGATTACATCACCCCAATTTTATCCTCCTTACACTAACTGCCTGTTAAGTTTCGTATTGAATTTAATATATTGCTTCTTACCTATAAAGCTTTGAATAATCTAGCTCCTGTTTATCTAACCAACCTAACGTCTCGCTACAATCCAACCCGCTCTAAGATCTCAACACTCAGGGCTTCTGGTAGTACCTAGAATAGCTAAATTAAATAAAGGAGGTCGAGCCTTCCCATTTATGGCTCTCAAACTCTGGAATACCCCTCCCTATAATGTCAGAGGCTCAGACAAACTCTTCTAATTCAAAACTAGATTAAAAACCTATATTTTTGGTAAAGCAGACACTCAGTGCATCACTTAGCGGTATGATACAAACCTGTGCTCCACACATGTTTTTGCATGTCGTTTATATACACTATGAACAGCAGCTTTGCCAGTTATTCTCTTTATTCTCAATTTCCACCTGGGGATACTCATTCCGAGGCCCGCAGACTATGCAGCACCACTGATTTAAGGGATGATCGTAAGGTTTCCATAATCCTGGACCAGGCCGTATCCTTAGCAGCTGCTGTGCTGGTCATTGAGGAGCGGAGAGCATGAGACTGATTCCTGTGACACTCCAGAGACAGACGAGTCTTCGCTGAGGTCCAGCTTCCAGCCTCTGGTGCCTTGACTGCAGCTCTATACACAAAATTTGGCCAGTGGAAAAATGGTCGTGCCCAACTGAACCTGGTTTCTCTCTCGGTTTTTAATTCTTCACTTTCGCCAATTGGTGAAGTTTTTTCCTCACCGCTGTCACCACTGGTTAGCATGGTTCGGGATCTGTAGAGCTGCGGCATTGGGCCAAACAAACCTAATTTTGTGGGGGCCAAACCTGGGCCAGAGAAATTTTGTTATGTGGGTAAAGTTATTAGTTATGTAATCAATAACCTTAACTTTTCCAATTTCCTGATTGTAAGAGAATATAAAGCTCCTTTGAAACAATAATTATTGTGAAATGTGCTATACAAATACACTTTAATTGAAATTATTAGCATACCAGTGTTGAGTGTAATGAGTTGAGTAACCCAATAGTATTAGGATGCAGACTTAGCTTTGCAAGCTGAGACTGCATATTTCAGAGATGCAATGTCAGACACAATGCACTTAACGAAGCTAGTGACGTCACTGTGAGGGGTAGGGTTAGGTAGGGTGTTAGTGAGGCCAGCAGGGATGCTCAACCTGCGGTCTATGTGGGTCCTAATGCCCCAGCAGCGAATGAGACTCTATACTGCTCAGTGAACACCATCTTTCGGATGAGACCTTAAACTGAAGTGCTGACTCTCTGAGGTCGTTAAAATTACCAGGATGTTCTTTCGAAAATGGGTATTCTGGCCAGATTTGCCCACTAGCCTCTGTCCATCATGGCCTCCTAACCATCCCCATATCATAATTGTCTTCATCATGCTGTCTCCTCTCCACCAATCAGCTGGTGTGTGGAATGCCCTGGCGCAATATGGCTGCCGTCGCATCATCCAGGTGGATGCTGCACACTGGTGGTGGATGAGGAGTTTCTCTTCAATGTGTAATGCACTTTTGAGTGTCCAGAAAGGGATTATATGAATGTAAGGAATTATTGTTATTATTATGGGCATTAAAAGCGTTGCATGCAGCTCAACTTAGAACTGTCTGCATCTACACCATAGGCCTCAAACTCAATTCCTTGAGGGCCGCAGCTCTGCAGTTTTGCTCTAACCTATTCAAACACACCTGATGCAACTAATCAGTGTTTAAAACTCTTGTGAACACTATTTATTGGATCAGATGTGTTTGAATAGTTGAAGCAAAACTGCAGAGCTGCAGCCCTCAAGGAATTGAGTTTGAGACCTATGAACTAGACCCTTCTCGAGTAACCAGTTGCTGTAATTACTTATCCAGAGAAGTAAATTAAGGGATTATTGCTATATGTATTAGTTACTTGCACTGTGCTTGACCTAAATACTGTAATTTCAACAGTTCTTTATAAATCAATTAAAAAAATCAAATAAATTATTCAATTAAAGAACAATATTTCATATTACTTTAAAGATGTGCTTTTAATTTAATGTATATATTTTATAAAACTGACTGCATTTAATTTAATTTGTAAAATATCAAAACTTCATACTGGTGTAAAAAATATGAAACTGATTTGTGCCAAAGCGAGTGCTCTATTCAGGCCAGCAGTTTATAAACTGATAACAGATGTTCAGAAATTAAATATACAGTGATGAGAGATGTTTTATCAGTCATAATAACAATGAATGGTAACATTAAAAAATGTATGGATGATTAAACATGACTGAGCTCCTCAAACTCAACCCACAGAGCAGTAACACAAGCAAACAAACTATAAAAACAGCACAAACACCTGGATCTGTTTCAGATATTTTCCGTTTTATTTTTCTGCATGAAAATGCACAGGATGTGAAGATGAACTGATTCACATGGGCTTTGGTGGAGCTCTGGGTGCAGCACCCTGTAGGAAAACATAGAAATAGAAAATGCTGAGATCCACACTAAACTTTAAGTGCACTACATAAAATATCAAGTTTAACGTCCTGCAGCTGTGGAGCATTATGAGCTTGGTAAACTTCTGGGTCCAAACACAAACACCAACTGCAACTAATATACACTCAGTGTGCTGCAATACTGTTGAAAATCATGATTGTAAATGATCATATGCCTGCATAATCTTAGACAGACAGAGACTCTTTTCTATAACTGGTTAAAATAAAGGAGGGATGCAGCAACTCTAGAGACCGTAATGAATGCGATTTTTCAAAATACACGTTGTTAGCCCATTTCCACTAGCATAAAACTGTTGCTAGTTCATCTAGCCAGTCGTTTCTTTGCTTTTCCACTGGTTAGAGCTACTGTTTTACGACTCATCCCTCTTAGCTACTCAAACGCAGAAGCACCAGACACAAATGCAATCTTACCGATGTGCTGCTATTAATGTAAACTTTGCAAACCTACTAATAAATTAGACCTCATGTTGTGTCAATCGTATTGGCACACTGCCTCGTCCACCATAAAACAACTCGAACCAGGTTTGATTTTCTTCCGCTTTTCGCATTTGAAAAAGCCCTTTGAGAGGTGTTTTGAGAGTTCAGAGCCACCGTACAAGCAAATGCCGTCCTTTCAGCTACATAACTTTGACAAACACAGTGCATAAGATAAAGACAGCTGAGAACCTCTATTTGCTGGATTCAGAGACTGCCGCACATCTCCCCTGCTGCTGCTTGGTGTGTCCAAAAATTTGATATACTACCCATAGACATTATAATAGAAAGCATGGTCTACTGGTGGCCCCCCATCTACTACTGCCAGTCTCAGTTCAGTATTTGTTTATGTACATGAATGTTAAGTGTCAAAAGGAAAGTATAAAAAATTAAACAGATTTTCGGATTCAGTGTGCAAGGTTTGTTTATGTGATTATTTTTCCGCATATGAATACGGAAATATCGGACTTCAGTGTGCAAAGACCTTAACGGTGACCCCACCCTCAGCCCCAGACGGAAGTGCTTCTTCTAGCTCAATGATGTTTTGGGTGTCAAAATACAAAGAACTGTTCTGGAACTAAACTCCAAAGCACTGTGGAAAAGTGGTATTTAATGTGTCAAATGGCTAACAGTGGTCTTAAATGGGAATACTTTTCTCAATTCAAAAGAGCAGACGTTTGGACCCAGAAAGTGTTCCCATTCTAAAGGTTTAGTTCACCTAAAAATTATGTTATTTAAAGTTTTTTTTTTTTATCTATTACCTACCCTCACATCATTTCAAAGCCCAGAGACTCTCATTCATCTTCAAAATACAAATTAATATATTTGAGATGGATTTTCTTACATGAGCTCTGTCATCCTGCATAGATAACTAGGTTAACAATAATGTTCAGAAAAATGCCAAAAAACATCCTCAAAACAGAACATGTGCCTTGAGTGGTTCATGCAGAATATTATCAAGCTACAAGAATACTCAAAAAACAAAAATAACAACATTATTCAACAGTTTCTTTTCAGTGTCAGTATAGGGTGCACGTTTACAAGTGCTGTGCAGTAACATATATTCTCTTCGCATGCTAATGCGTGATTTTCTGTTTGAAACAAAGCACAAGCGAAACCATGGTAATGCGTCACGGCCTAGTGTAACGTGAACGTGCACCCTATACTGTCACTGAGAACAAACTGATGAATAAAGTTAACATTTTTATGTCCGCATTTCCGAAGCTTGATTACGTTCCACTGAAGGTATATGGTCAGTATTGAGGATGTTTTTTTGCTAATAATTTTCTGGACTTTGAATGTCTTTGGACCATTGCTGTCTATGGAGGATGAGGGAGCTCTCAGATTTCACCTAAAATATCTTTATTTGTGTTATGAAGTTCTTTGTGGATTGCAGTGACATGAGGGTAAGTACATTTTTATGTATTTATTTATTGTTATTGCTAAACAATAACAAAGGCATTAATAACTGAGAAGTTCACTTAGACTGACAATAATTCCCATTCACAGTCTTTACATCCACATTATTAACAACAACAAAACAAAAAGCAGGAAATTAAATGAATAAAATAAAAACATTAAAAATAAAATCATAAATTAAAAGAAATAAGTAGAGGAGTTGAAAGTTCTCAAAATATACCAAAATCCTATAATAAAGTATATCAATATCTTTCTTTTTGACTTTTCATCTCTCTTAATGTCTTCACATTCATCACAAATTCTTCGTTAAACACTACTAATGTTGGCAATATTGGAAAATTAAAATGTATGAATTTACATTTTAACATTATCAACAAATTTTTTATTCTAAATAATATATTATTTATCTTATTTATTTTATCTTTTTACTAGTGCTGGGCAATGACTTAGCTGCATTCAAAATAAAAGTTTGTTTAGAAATAATATGCATGTGTGTGTATTGTGCATCATTATCTGTGTGCGATACACACACATAAGTAGAAACAAAACTACACAATTTAGTTTCACATATATTACGTCAAACAATCTTTAATTTTGAATGCGATTAAACTTTTCCCAACACTACTTTTTAACCTTAAATATCAAACCAAATTTAATAGTTTTTGAGGGCGAGTAATTATTAACAGAATTTTCATTTTTGGGTGAATTAACCCTTTAACAAATGTTCAGTGCACTTACACTAGGCCTGAATCGAGGAGGTGGTGTTCGGTCCTTGCGAGCCTCGCGGGATCTATTCCTCACCACTTTACTGTGGATGGCACAGCTGACGCAGTAATGCAGCTTCACGTAGAGCTTGGGCAACACGTACGCTACAAAAAGATCAGCATTTTCATCAGGACCGGCACATAATGACAGAACTCTGAGGATGTTTTAGTAGTTAAAGCAGAGTCTTACAGTCGAACACGCTGGCCTCTGAGATGTCCCTCACTGCGGCGGCCTCCACAATGTTCCTGATGACGAACTTCTTGATGGCCTTGTCTTTGGGGACGCAGCGGGCGCAGTTGGTGCAGCGGATGGGCTGGACATGACCACGACCCTTCTTTGCACGGCCGTTGTTCCTTCTTTTCTTAGTCTACCAATAAAGAGAGGTAAAACTTTTAAATAAAGAACATCTGATTGAAATCCTAAACTTGACCAATGCATTTCAGTCAATCTTCTGTCTGATAATAAGCCTTTTAAAAACGATTAACAAATTCTGTCAAGAGCAAAAAGGTTTCTTTTTCGTGCATTGAGGGACTGTAAAGCTTTTTTTGGGTTTGTTAGTATAGGTTCATACACAATTTTACTACTAAAATTGCATGATTTTTCAATAACTAAGTAATGTATTTATAAAGGGGATTTATTGTGTATGGCCTTACACCCAAAACACTTCACAATCATGAGGGGGGTCTCTCCACACCACCTAGATGATGCAACGGCTTCCACAGGACCACGGCGCTAGAGCGCTCACCACACACCAGCTATTGGGGGAGTGGAGAGACAGTGATAGAGCCAATTTGGTGGATGGGGATGATTGGAAGGCCATGATTCTAAGGGTCAGTTGAGGCTGCGGCCATATCACCTTGAATCACCCAAAATCTAAGTAAATTTTCATGACCTAATGTTTCATGTAATGCCAATGTGGTAAATAAAAAAAACAACAAGTTCAAATTTATTACAGCATATCATACAACACACAACAAACTATTTAGTTCAAATTTATTTTTATATCTATATAAAATGTATTCAGATAATGCTTACACAGCACTAATAATGTGAGAGCATGTTTTTGGCCAAGGACAAAAGGGAAGGACAACTAAACTACATTTAAGTATACAGATATATGACAAACTAATTTAAAACTTTTCCAGGCCTGCAAAATGCCATGACTTATCCAAAAAAAATATTTTGATAAAGTATCACTGTGCAGCCCCAAAATACCAACAAATTATCATTTTAAATCTTTATACTTTATACAACTGCACTTTTAACAACTGTTTCAACCATTTGTAAACAAAATGTACATTATAAATTGCATTTTAAATTGAATGCAATAAAGCATGATAATCAGGTATTCTTCTATTAGGAACACATCTAAATTAGTGATTCATTTTCCAATAAATGCGTTATCCTCGATTAACTTTCAAAAATTTGTTTTCAGAAAAGATACTTCAAAAGACACACTTGCATTTAATGTGATTTAAAATTAAATAATGTAATATTATTTTAGTATTTAATGCAGAAATACATTTTTGGCCAAAATGTATGTAGGAGCACATTTAAAAAGTTAAATACGTTTGAGACTTGCCAGCGCTCACAAACGATTGCATTTCTATTAAAAAAGAAAAAAAAGATCATTCATACATTTAAAAATGTGAACATTTTTAGAAATATGTTATGATTTCCTGAAAGCTTCAAATTCATCATTACTGCAAGAAAATCTTATAAAGAAAAAAAAATGCAGGTGTTTTTGTTACATCAATTTAAATAAAAGACTGTTCCTCTTCTACATTAATACATTATATATAATACAAATATATTACATTGTGGAAAAGTTGATTTTATATTCACACATTAACACTTTCTCCTCAATAGTATAATTTCAGAAAAGTATTATTTGCTAATACTAAATAGTGAAATCATTTTAGCAGCTAAAAACAAAGTACAACATTGGCACTATTTACTTGACAGTAAACAATGTTTTGAAGTCTCATTTGTACGTGATTTCAGACCGAATATTAAAAAGTACCATGGTAAACAATATAAGAAGCATGTCACAAATTGTCACTAAACGAATGTGAGAATATAAAAACACTTTACCTAAATTTATAATACCATATATCGTATTTATTAACGTTATTTAGATGCTTCCTTAACAGTCATGTCAGCCCTGTTTACACTCAATAATTATGACAGACCGCAATCTCTTGATATTAATTTAGCATATAAACTTTAACACATCTAGAACCAACATATTACATTAATAGCTATAATAAAAACGCAATACATGTCACTAATTTGCTCCATATTAACAACCAGTATCAGGCCTGAACATACCGCGTGTTACTGAAGCCGAAGCCACATGCTAACCATGTTCACACACTCTTCTCTCTAACCGTCAAATAGTCCAATTTTTGAGCCCGAAGACAACTAAATTAACTGCTTTATTAACTACACCACTCGACAATATGTTTTACTTGAAAACATATAACAGAATTCTTGCATTAAAACACGTTCATGTATCAATCGTGAAGGCTCGATACTCACCATCTTGAACGGGAGGCTGGAAAGAGGACCGGAAAAGGCAAACCGGAAGTAAAAGTCTTTCGTTTACAACAAAAGTTTTCGCTTGGGGAAAATATTGCATGTATACGATGTGATGGAGTGTTATAAACGTTTACTGCAAGAATACGGTTTAAAAGTTTACATACAATTAAGATATATCTCGTTATGTGACACGGAGGCTAATTTATTTGTTCAAGGAACTAGTTTACCGCGGATAGATACAGTGGTGGGGCTACGGCGAAGGCAGCCTAAAAGTCACGACACACAATATAAAAATTAAGATTATTATTACAATATAACATGCTAGCAAAGGTGAGAATTGCGTGATTTGTTTTGCTCTTAAGTATAAGAAATTTGTAAGATGTAGAAATGTATTTTAAACGTATCATTTATTAATAGTACACTTTTTTCCAAGCTATTTGGATTATTAAAAGTAGACTCAAAATGGCTTTTATAAATGTAATTCACCAAATTAAGAGTCTAACTTTTAAACCAGTTGTAAGCTTGCCATTTTTAATTATAATTTTCCAATAAAACTTTATTAAAATAATACAAATTTAACTAATTTAATTTGTATTTATTATTTAACCAGGAATGTACTATTGAGATAAAATATCTCTTTTACCAGGGAGTACTGGTCAAGACAGACAGCATAGACAAAGTTCATTCATTCATTCATTTTCGGCTTTGTCCCTTTATTAATCTGGAATCGCCAAAGCGGAATGAACCGACAACTTATCCAGCATATGTTTGCCCTTCCAGCTGCAACCCATCACTTGGAAACACCTACACACATACACCACGGACAATTGAGCTTACCCAATTCACATATAGCGCATGTCTTTGGACTTGTGGGGGAAACTGGAGCACCCCAAGGAAACCCACACCAACACGGGGAGAAGATGCAAACTCCACACAGAAATGCCAACTGACCCAGCCAGGACTCGAACCAGCGATCTTCTTGCTATGAGGTGATCGTGCTACCCACTGCGCCACACAAATGGCAGCACAAATGTCTTGATACCTCAGGCTGTTGATGTTGCCATCCACTCTGCAGATCTCTCGCATGCCCCCATACTGAATGTAACCCCAAACCACGATTTTTCCCTCACCAAACTTGACCAATTTCTGTGAGAATCTTTGCTCCATGCAGCTTCCAGTAGGTCTTCTGCAGTATTTGTGATGATTGGGATGCAGTTCAACAGATGATTTATCAGAAAAATCTACCTTCTGCCATTTTTCCAAATGGTCAACTAGAAGTCAAGTTATTATTTGTTGCTCTTACAACTGGGATCGACAACAAGACTTTGTCAGGTAGTGTGTACAATATGTTGACTGTAATTTAAATATTACAATAAAGCATACATGACTAGTATAGACCAAATGTAGTGTTTGCAAAAAAAAAAAGGCACAAAAATGATTTCAAATTTATATTATTTTAATTAACAAATACTAAAAATAACAATACATAAAATGTATTTAAAAGAGATGCACAGAAAATTACAAAGGTTGTAACCTGAAAGGTTAGGATATAAAATCTTTAACCATGATACAATGAGAAAAATAAAAGATTGGGGGGGGAAATTAAAAGCTTGTTTCTTAATCGTGTAACATTTCCAGTAGATCAGTACATACGCAGACAGATGAAGTGGTTTTTGCTTTTGACATCAGTGATGTCAGTGCCTCAGGAAAATCACACACACACACACACACACAAAACAACCTATTGGAGAAAACATAATCTAACAAAATATAAATCTACTATTAACAGGGTCCATATAAGTGGAAGAAAAACAATCGGACAAACAAAAAAGACACACAAACACACATGAGAACACGAGGAAAACAACGTCCCCCTTCATACAACCTCAAATCAATCTTCGCCACAGGGAAAGAACAAAAACTGGCCTTGAATCCTGCCGATATCATCAATAAAATCATATCAGCGATTTGATCACAGGCTGCATTTCAGAACTAGACTAAACCTAATATATTTTCTTAAAAACAATTCCATTTACACATTCCATAAACATAATCCATATACACACACATCTGTGAGAATAAACGCACTGGATCCGAGCACCACTTGAGTTTGGTCAAGAAAGTCGCCTTGTTAAAAATTCACGATCCAACAGATTTATTATTACCATTATTATTATTATTTATATAAAAGAACCTGTCATTCTCTTTCCATTAAACCCTTAATGAACAGTAAAGTGCTCCTGGCAAAGTTTGCCCTTGTATGCTGATGGAAGTCCGGTCTCGCAATTGAAATACTTAAACAGTTAAACAGGCATGCCGATAACCAATCAGCATCTAATAGAGAGTTAATCGATGCCAAGAGCAGCACCGCCATGCTTAATAAAAACGGATGGTCCGACTTCAAGAGCGCAATAGCTTATTAATCTGAAAGCAAATCTGTTGGAATAAGAGGAATCATGGCGTGCTTTGATTTAACTAGTGCAAATCTGACTAAACAGTGTGCTCGCTTTAGACAACCTGTCAGCGCCATCTGCAGGTCGAGTTCACAATTGACAAATCAAATGTCATTGTAGTCTTAAAGGAACACAACACTCTACTTTAGAGTAAAACAGATGAGTTTTACCATTTGTGAATCCATTCAGCCACAACATGGGTCTGGTGGTAGCACTTTTACTTTAGCTTAGCTTAGCATACATCATTGAATCGGATTAGACCATTAGCATTGCTCAAAAATCAAAGTGTTTGGATAAAGGATTTATTTAAAGCTTGACTGTTCTGTAGTTTCACCATTAATAAGACTGACAGAAAATGAAAAGTTGCTATTATCCAGGTTGATATGGTTATAGGAACTATACTCTCATTCTGACCTAATAATCAAGGAACTTTGCTGTAGTCGCATGGCTGCAGCAGGTGCAATGATATTATGTAGCACTGTTCCCTAGCTGGGGACTCTTTTCAGACACTGCATGATATCATTCCACCTGCTGCAGCCATAGTACGACAACAAAGCCACTTGACTATTAGGTCAGAATGAGAGTATAGTTCCTATAACCCCATCAACCAGGAAAATATCAACTTTCGATTCTCTGTCAGTCTTAGGACACGAATTAACTATAGAACAGTCAAGCTTTGAACAGAAGGTATAATTGTTTTTGAGCATATAGCTAATGGTCTAATCCGATTCAATGAATTATGCTAAGCTAAGCTAAAAGTGCACTCACCAGAGCCAGATTGGCTGAATGGAATTAAAAATAGGAAACGGTTTAACTCAAGATGACTTGTAAAAAGAGCCTATTTCCAAAATAAATGTGGAGTGTTCCTTTAAAGCCTGATAAATAGTTTCATCTAGTGGTTCTAAAGTTTGCTTGGAAAGCACTGGTTTAACACCTCCCATGCCTCTAAAATACTGGCCCCTTTTATTAATAAAACGGCGAGGAATAAAACCGCTCTCCACCAATCAGGGAAGACGAGGACGAGCTACAAAAAGGATAGGGAGTTTTTTTGGGGGGGGCTCCTGAGCTGCAATAACTCATTTTCCACCACAGTCTGTGTGCATCCTGAGGGTTGGGTAAACAGGAGGTTGGTGAACGCAGCAACATTTCTGAGGCATCATCACTTGGGCTCAGCTCGATACCACTTTACGGCATTGCAGCTTTAAAAACAAAAACAATTCAGGTCTCCCTGAGTTAGTAGCACTTCACTGTGTCAGTCTGCTTGTCTTCTTAGTCCTTTAGCTTTAAGAAATCCACAAGAAAGAAAAAAGAAATGTACAGTTTGCTTTGGAGGGGCAGCTGGTCGCATCAGAACGGTTTGATGAGGAGAAATGACACAATCCACATACTTACGCTGCCACGAAGGTGCAAATGAAACCTTGCACCATTCAGAGAGGTGAAATGGTTGTTGTGTGAGTGAGAGTTTAGGTGGGCCTCACGCATGAAAAGTTTCCTTGATTTTCAATTCCAATATCTCATGATTTAATCATCTAACTGGATAAAAACCACAATGGAAAGTAAATCTGCATCACCTCATTGCTTATAGTTCCATAGATAGTTTCATGAATGAGGCCCACTTTGTGTATAAATCAAAACAATGCATAATATATGCATATACTAATTATGTGGATTGTGTTAGGACAGGAAACGGTGTGTGAGTGTGTGTGTGTGTGTGTGTGTGTGTGTGTATGCGAAGGTCTTGGTCAGTAGTTCCTATTTGTAAACGCTCGTCTGTGAATCCGTTTAGTGTTGTTCCTGCTGGTGCTTGTTCACATGTGCGGATTGTACAAGGTGCTAGATCAACGCTGTGGTGTCCATAATGTTTCTGTTGGGATCCAGTGTGGCGAAAAAGCGCACGTCTCTGTCTTCATCATTGCGGAGCACAGACAGAGTCTTCTCCAGCTCATCCGAATAAGCGCTGTCTGGGTCCTTGAAATACGCTGAAATCAGAGCGTATACAGAAAAGGCACTCAGTACTCATGACTACTGATTTAAGCTAAATATTAGGGCTGCACAATATATCGTTTCAGCATCGATATCCTAATATGAGAGGTCTGCAATAGTCAGGTTGCAGGATCGGCAACGTTGATCTGGGATTATACTCGAGCAGAATGCTGAACAAATCAAAAGTTTAACCCTAATAGAGCGAAAGTTTTTTTTTCTGTGACTACATAGAATTTAAAGCAAATTTAAACCATTTGGGCCACAACTGATCATGATGATAATTGTATTAAGTTATACAATGAATAAATACTACAGTACTGACTAGTCAACAAATATTGAGTACAGTAGTGAACATTTGAAGTGGATCAAAAGGTTTATAAAAATAAGAAATAGGTGTTGTTAAATAGTTTTAGGACAACTTTGATGAAAAGGTTTTAATCTACTTCAAATGTTGACTACTGAATAGTGTTATTTTACAGTCGCCTTTTGAATTTCTGCATCTCCGGACTGTCTGAAAACCATAAAGAACTACTTATTAGTATCTTTGCTCTTTTGTATTAAATTTTATGCATATACACTCTCGATCAATGTAAATTGATGTTTAATGGGTTACTTAAATGATCTTATAAAATTAGATTCATATCCCGATATACATTAACAGGCCACTTTATTAGGCACACCTTACTAGTAATGGACCCCCTTTTGCCTTCAGAACTGCCTTAATTCTTCATGGCATAGATTCAACAAGATACTAGAAAATTTCCTCAGAGATTTTGGTCCTTATTGACATGATTGCATCACACAGTTGCTGCAGATTTCACAGCTGCACATCCATAATGTTAATCTGCCGTTCCACCACATCCCAAAGGTGCTCTATTGGATTAAGATCTGATGACTGTGGAGGCCATTTGAGTACAGTGAACTCATTATCATATTCAAGAAACCACTCTGAGATGATTTACGCTTTATGACATGGTGTGTTATCCTGCTGGAAGTAGCCATCAGAAGATGGGAACACTGCTTATAAAGGGATGGACATGGTCAGCAACAATACTCAGGTAGGCTGTGGCGTGATGCTCAATTAGTAGTAATGGGCCCAAAGTTTGTAAAGAAAATATTCCTAACACCATTACACCACCTCCAGCAGCCTGAAATAGTTGATAAAAAACAGGATGGATCCATGCTTTCATGTTGTTGATGCCCAATTCTAACCCTACCATCCAAATGCCACAACAGAACATTTTTCCAATCTTCTATTGTCCAATTTCGGTGAGCCTGTGAGAATTGTAGCATAAGTTATCTGTTCTTAGCTGACAGGAGTGGCACCCGGTGTGGTCTTTCACTGCTGAAGCCCATCCGCCTCAAGGTTGGACGTGTTGTGTGTTTAGAGATGCTCTTCTGTATACCTTGGTTGTAACAAGTGGTTATTTGAGTTACTGTTGCCTTCCTATCAGCTCGAACCAGTCTGGTTATTCTCCTCTGACATCAGGGATTTGCACCCACAGAACTGCCGCTCACTGGATATTTTCTCTTTTTCGGACCATTCTCTGTAAACTCTAGAGATGGTTGTGTGAGAAAATCCCAGTAGATCAGCAGTTTCTGAAATACTCAGACCAGCCCGTCTAACACCAACAACCATGTCATGTTTAAACTCACTTAAACCCCCTTTCTCCCCTATTCTGATGCTTGGTTTGACCTGCAGCAGATCCTCTCGACCATGTTTACATGCTTAAATGCACTGAGTTGCTGCCATGTGATTGGCTGATTAGAAATGTGCATTAACGATAATAAATAATAAAGTGGCCGGTGAATGTATATTGCAGCAATACAAAAAATCTTAATGTCACCTTTTTTCAACAGTGTGCAGCGCTACTTAATGTTGCTTTAATAAAACATTTTATAGTTTGTTTGAGAAATGTGATGAAAATGTTTGAGAAATCGGTTCATTTTTTTCAAAATGCATCACTATTCACTCTTGAATTAATACTCATTTAAGTTTTTAACCGCAGATGGCGCTGTTTGCTTTTTAAAACAGCTGTACTCTGCTCTATCAAATTCTGTATAAATACAACTGGAGCCTAAAATAACCCTTAAGAAACGTTTAAGCGAGGTTTAAGGTTTGTGAACAGTTAAAAAACTAGCCATCTTCAACTTAAGTTTTGTGCGTGTGTGTCTTACGTTTTTCCAGCACGCTCTGCCGTAAAGCCTTGGCCACCAGCACACGGACGTTGGGCACAGGATCTGATGAGAGGCTGAGAAGACTGGGCAGAAGGTGCTGGGCAAACTGGTCCATGGGCATACAGTCCTCCTCCACTACCGCCTATATGGAAAGACAGAAAACATCCCAATAAACAATACACAATAAGATACTATTAAACATTACATGAGAGGTTTCACATCCAAACCCCATGATGTCAGACTTTAGTTCTTTTGAAGTGAAATTAAATTACATAAACAAAAAAAAAATAGACATAACAAAATAAATAAAACTACATGGCAATTCTTTTCTTTACACACACACACACACACACACACACACACACACACACACACACACACACACACACACACACACACACACACACACGTGTATATATGTATGTATGTATGTAAGTATGTATGTATGTATGCATGCATTCATGCGTAGTAATATATATATAAAAAAATAGCTTAAAGGGGCTAAACATTTTGACCTTAAAATAGCTTTTAAAAATTTTTTAAACTTCTTTTATTCTAGCCGAAATAAAACACTCTCAAGAAGAAATATTAGACATACTTTGAAAATTTCCTTGACCTGTTAAACATAATTTTGGAAATATTAAAAAAAGCGGAAAAAAATCTAAGGGGGGGTTTAATAATTCTGATTGCAACTGTGTGTGTATATACATGATATTTGTTTAATATAACAGTTATTATGCAAATATATAGTTTTATATATATATATATATATATATATATATATATATATATATATATATATATATATATATATATAAATCTAAATTGTCCGCAAATTTCTGAGAAATTTAATACCGTGTATAACAGCAGACTTTGAGACTTTAAGACTTTAGAATATTTTTAAGGGTTAAAAAACTTCTCTAAATTGATTTATCAACTTATAAGACCCCCACGGACACCAGGTAAAAATGATCGCACTACATAAAATATTAGTAATTTTCTGCCACATTTCAGGCAAGATGAAATAAAATAACTTACTTTGTTTCCGTACATATTGTGTTTTTCATTTTGAAAGCATTAAGAAAGTTTAGTGTAGTGACAATATAAAGAAGTCACCAGCTGACTAACACTTAACTGCACTATAGTCTATTATGGTGCTCTCATCATTTCAGATTTATCCATCTCGGTGTGTCAAGAAACATCATGACTATTCTATGTAAAACATTCATTTAAAAAGTTAAAGAGCAGCACAAAATAAGAGACGAACAAATGTGAAGAACAAATGAATAAGATTAAAAAGAAACCCTGTAAATCCTTTGAATGATTCTTGAAGTCAAACATCATACCTGGCAAATGAAAGCAAATGCCTGACGCCCGACCCATTTGGGACTGTGGCAGAACCTCATAATGAGCTCATTAATGAAATTAAGTCCCAAGTCATGAGCTTCACAGGAATACAACTTCTGCAGGATCTCCACCACCTGACAAACATTCACAAGACAACAAAAAATCATTGAATCAGCCCCACTGAAAAACAATGGAGCCAATAAAGCCAGCAGAGAGTTGTTTTTTCCAAATGTGCCACAGGAAACAAGTCTCACCAGTTTGTAGGAGATCCACCGCACTTCTGACACTTTGTCAGAGCAAAGGTTAAGTGCGATCTGTCTGAGGTAGTCATAGACGTCATTGTGGCTGTACAACTCGATGATCAGGATAAGCTGTCTGAACACACATACAAAGACAATACCATGAGAGTGAGATCACGCCTGGAGGTTTCAAAGGACACCGTGTAAATGAAGCTTTTTGTAAAGTAGTGCATACTCGGCTAGTTCATAGCGAAATCTCCAGTTTCGGCTGTTGTCGGTCACCATGAACTCCTGCAGCTGATAAAGATACTCCCGCCGCTTCTCGGCATGAAGAAGCTAAAAAAATAAAAATAAAAAAGGGCACACAAATAACTTTTGAGGACAGGGAAGATGGAGTGGTTGTTGAATAAAACAATTGGCTTTCACTTTATTGTGTGCTTGTTACAGTGGAATTAAATACTTTGTAAGATACTTAGCGTAAGGTTTGGTTTAGGGTTGATTGCTTGCAATTAGGAATGATTTACTGCTATCACTACTTAAAGTCTTTGTAAGAGATTAGACTAATCACAGTAAAATAAAATGCCGCCGAAATGTTTAGTGATTAAAATATAGTTGATACAAGATGACCTAAAATAATGCTTAAACTTAAAGGTTCAAGAAACCCTGGAGTACTTTGTTTTTTAGATTTTAACCGATTTGTGTGTTAAGCATAAGTTAAGACAAAGTTAGCACCTGTCAGCTTTAATTGTGCAGAAATATTGATAATTTTGAGCTTTTGTCAGCTAATTTCATCTTTCGGGTTTCAAATATTTTATGGGGAGGGATCAAAATCCTGGACGTAGCGCAAATATGCTAACGAAGTGATGATGCGTCAGTTTCTCATTATTACTCATAGCTGAGTTTTATTTTCCTATGAGAAGAGCCTGCTTCTTAATTATTCATGAGAGCATGTGCTTTATGAAGGCAAGGCAGATCTGCCAAGCTGTGAGACCCAATGACTGGGTGAGGCCGCGTCAATGGACGGCATGCAGTACAGCAGTTCATGAAGGGTCGTATGTGTTTGTTTCCATGATCCACAGGGTTTGTTGCTTGTTTTTCCCCATGATGCTGTCAGGGCAGATACAGCAAAGCTGTTTATGTGCAGCAGTCATTTTTGTCGGGAGAGCTGAATAAGAATTGGAGAATGGCAGACTTTTATCAGCCGAGTTCGTTCTCATTTACACAGATCGCCTATATCTGCTGCTTGCCCATTTTTAAAATCCTCCAGATTAACGGCAGGGCTAATGGTTGAAATAAATAGGCAAAGACCCCTGCTGCACTGCTCCACTGTGAATGCATTTAGACGCGGGGATTGAAGAGAGAAGCCCTCATTTATAGTGTTTATATAAACATGATTAGCTTTAAAGTGATATAGACGGTGGTTGTGTATATAAAATTACAAATAACATATGTAGCAGGACATTAAATTATTGTTTATTTCTTTGCATTTTAACTTTGTAAACTATAAAATCATGGGTCTCCTCACGGTTTGTCTCATTTAGTGAGCCAACTGCACAGTTGTTCGCTCCCCTCTTTTTCCCCTGCTCTTCTGACCACGCCCACTCCGCCCTCTGCTCACAGCGCTCCACGCCCATCATGATGCACTTTTTGAACAAATTCTGAGGTAAACTTGAACTGAAAGAGGGGGGTTTCATGGCCCTTAAGGTTTAAAATAAATTTCCCTTGGCAATTATCTGTATAAAAATGTGCAAGCTAAATAAGAATTATTAAACAGTGTAGGGCTGCTCGATTATGGGAACAATCATAATCACGTTTATTTTGGACATAATTGTAATCACGATTATTCAAAACGATTATAAGTTGAAGTCAAAATTATTCGTCCTTCTGTGAATTTATTTTTATATATAAATATTTCCCAAATGATGTTCAACAGAGGATTTTTTTTTACAGTATTTTTTATATAATATTTTTTTCTTCTGGAGAAAGGCTTATTTGTTTTATTTCAGCTAGAATATAAGCAGGTTTAAATATTTTGAAACCTGTTTTAATAGCTTGATATTATTAGCCCCCTTAAGCAATATATATTTTTGATTGTCTGCAGAAGAAATTATTGTTATACATGACTTGCCTATTTACCCTAATTAAGCCTTTGAATGTCACTTTAAGCTGAAGACTAGCATCTTGAAAAATATCTAGCAAAATAAAATGTTCTGTCATTATGGCAAAGATAAAAGAAATCAGTTATTAGAGATGAGTTATTCAATCTGTTATAATTAAACTGTGCTTTAAGCATCTTCACTGTATTTTTGATTTTATTATTGATGATTAATAATAAAAACAGGCGGCAGCAGCAGGAATACCGCACGCTGTCACTTTAGAATAGTGCGGCTCTGATATGGTTTCTCTTTAACGTGTCTTTTGGTTCTCAACTTGTTTGTTTATTACACAAATGAGGGTTAATATAAATAATCACTAAACACCACACTCTGACACAAATGTGCATGTATTTGACCATTAAAGCGCTCACATTAAGATGTCGTTAGATGTGTGTGTATGTGCTCTGCTGTCTGAGGCTAAGCGTGTGGCGTGCACACACATAACTGCACGTGCTCTTTCGCGCTTTTAAAAATATGAATGATGCGCATCCCGTGCTGCAAAAGTTACATCACAGCACATGCTTTTAGTCGTTTTCATGTGGAACTGAGCTTTGCAGAGCAACACGTGTACAAGTGGAAAGGGGGCGGTATATGATGGAATAATCGTTTATCTCGATTATTGATTTTTCATCATCATTAGAAGCCGAAATCAAAATCGGATTTTCGATTAATTGCACAGCCCTAAAACAGTGTCTTAATATCATTTTTAAACAAAACAGTTTATTACCTGAATAAATTGAAGCTATATAAAAAAAAACGTTAAATTACAAAAATAAAATCTGAACAAACAATATTTCTAATTCGGAGATAGTAATTTTCTGAAACAACAAATCTTCTACTTGACAATATTTTTTTTATTTGAAATGTTATTAGACCTTTACAGAATAAAACAAAGACAACAATTTTAATAAAACATGTACCTAAAAAGCAGTGATTTCAGAAAAACTGAGAACTGTAAGTGGTCTCTTAATTAGCTCAATATGTCAAATATAAGTAAGGCTGTCAAAAAAATGCAAGTTGTAAAAAAAAGAACAGAAAAAAGAAATACTCACCTTTAAGAAATCATACAGGTGTTTGAGGACTCCTATCCGCACCTCATCGAGGTCTTTGAGAAAACCGTTAAATATGGGCACAAGGTCAGCTGCGGTGAGCTGATCACCCAGAATCACTGCCAGCTCGTGGATGGAGAACGCAAGCGTCCGTCGCACCTTCCACTGCAACACATTCAACATATGTAAAGCATTTGTAGATGCCACTGTAACACACTGAACATGTAACGCATTCACACCTCCACATTTTTACTACAAAAATTACATGACTTTTCCAAGACTTTTCCAGAACTTTCAAGTACTTTGTTCAAATTTATTTTTATATCTATGTCAAATTGATTTTGATATTGCTTGCACAGCACTAAAAATGTGAGAGCAAGATTTTGGCCAAGGACAGAAGAGACAACTAACCTATTTTTAAGTTAGGGCTGCACAATATATAATATCAGCGTCGATATCACAATATGTGCATCCGAAATAGACACATTGCAGCATGCAATGTTGGGATTATAGATTAATATAGAGTTAAATCATAATGGACTAAAAGTTTATCATCTGCATGCATTTTTAAAGAGATTGTGCATCCAAAAATTACCTCTCGTTTTTATTACACACTTAACTTGTTTCAAACATTTATTTTAAAAGAGTTTTCTTCTTTTTGTTCTTCTTTTTTAACTGAACAAACATTTAATAACTCCTATAGTATTAAAACAGGTGAAGTGTGAGTAAACAATGAGTACATTTTAATCTTTGAGTAAACTGTCTCTTTAAGGCCTGTGATTGTGTGAACATTTCAATATTTCTCATTTTAAAACATCCGACCACAAGTAATTTTTGTAACTTTAATAAAGGATAAATATAAAATGAAGACTATGCAGTGTTGATTATTTAATATCTGCACCTGAATAGTGAATACAAGAAAACTATCATTCACTTTTATCTTTACTATATTTTATTTATCTATGCTTCTAATTTATTTGTTATATTATTCGAGATTTACTCCTCTACAAAATCCCCCTGATCAATCCAAATAAACTTGTTAAATCATCTGATGAAATTGTATTCACATCGCAAGAAATAATCACAATAATACAAAATATGGTAATGTCAGATTTTTGCAATATCTTGCAACCCTAATTCAAATATACAGATATTTTCTTTCATTTTCTTTTCGGGTTAGTCCCTTTATTAATCAGGGGTCGCCACAGCGGAATGAACTGCCATATACAGATATTTGTTATATTAATTTCCATGACTTTTCCAAAACTTTGTGGGTTTTTGCTGTTTTTACAAAAGATTTCCAGGCCTGGAAAATGCCATGTCGAAATTTCATGACTTTTCCAGGTTTTCCATAAACGTATGAACCCTGAGTGTAACACATTCAACATCTAACACATCTGCACCTTCCACTGTAGCACTTCCTTTGACAAATGCCATTTTAAGACAGACTGTGTGTCTAGACCTCATAATTAGCACATTTACAAAACCAGGCAATGATAATTTATCCTTAAAGATCTCTATACCTGTACGTCTGATGCGAGAGTTTCATAGGTGTCTTTGAGGCAGTGCCAGTTCTGTCTGCCCAGTGTGAGGGCGACGCCGGGCAGGCTGAATGCACAGTGTTTGGCAATCTCAGTGTCCACGGTCTGAGCTCGCGCGGGGTCTGTCATAGACAGATACTGATCCAGCAACTGCTGAGGAATTACATTCTAAGGCACAAACAACGACAGTTAGCAAACTTCAGAGTTGATCAACGTGTCATGTTTTGTCATTAATAGTTTGAAAGTCAATTAACAATTTAAGTCTGTGGTTAGTACAACAATCTGAAAATAAAGGCTAACTGTAACCCCGGCATATGGATTTTGGATTCGGTTTCATAGGTTACTTATCTAGAGCAGTGCATTACCTGGACTTTAGACTTCTCCTCTTCACATGCTTTAACTGCATCCGAGTCTTTGTCTTCCTCCACATGTTCTATTAGGTCTGACTCCTGTGTGTACACATTAGCATGTATGAGGAATTTTCTACAGTGTACTGTACATACAGGAACCAGAGAATGACCATTTTCTAACCCTTAAGTACTGCATGGGATGTGTTCATCCACTCTGGGGTGATTTTGAGGCTCAATCTGGCCACAACTTTCTCTGTTTTACAGCAAATGCAATGATTTTTAGTGATAAATCTTATTTTGACATATTTTGGGAAAATGCTTTGGAATTTTTCAAAACCTCGATACACTCTGATACCACCCTTTCATAATGTTGGTGGCTGTTTTCGCCCCATTGACTTCCATTTTAACTACATTTTTTGATAGAATTAGCAAAACTATGACACTATAAATATGCATTCTTGATTGTAGGGACAAGGTCAAATTTGACATTTTTACAGTTGATCATCAGTTGCAGTGCAAAAAAAGCTTAGTTTCTGGCTTTTATATGGAGTATAGTGTGTGTTTGTGTTTGTGTGTGTGTGTGTGTGTGTGTGTGTGTGTGTGTGAGAGAGAGAGAGAGAGAGAGAGAAACACTAAACAATTGCATAACGAACAAATTATAAGTTGCATTTATAAAACACAGATATTTTTTAAAGCAATTTTTGACTTCATTCTATTGTGTACATCATGTGTAAAACACTGACACAAATTGCATTAACATTACAAAATGCACCTACACTTCACTTCGATCAGCATATCTTTTCTTTTGATTTAAACCCTCTTCTTAAATACAATATAAAATAATTTACCTTAGAAGTTTTAACTGATAAATGGGCAGGTTGGATCATTTGAGAGCATCATTACCTTGCGGATCTGAAATAATCTGGTGTCACTGCAGAGATCGCAGAAGCGCAGCAATAAAAGATGTTCCACCGTGTCTTTAGTCAACATGGTCACCAGCTTGCACATGATCTGCACCAAAACGTGAAGAGTTCAACCCAATCATACAAAAACAATTAGCACAGTAGCCTGGAGGACATCATGAAGATATAAACTTCATCCCAACTGGATTAAAGGTACGATGAAAAGTCCAATGAATGCAGTGCTCTATCTTTAAAAGGATAGTTTACCCAAAAATGAAACTTCCTATTAATTTACTCATCCACAGGTCATCCAAGATGAAGGTGCTCTTTTTTTATTAGTAAAACATTAAAGAAGATTTTTAGCTGAATTAAGGGTTCTTGTTGATTCATATAAATGGCAGTCAATAGGGATAGTCTTTTGAGGTTAAAAATCTCACAAACAAAAAAGTCCAAATCAATAGCTGTGGCTCCTGATGACACACTGAGGTCTGAGCCAAACGATCAGTCCGTGTAAGAAATTGAATATTATCAACCTAGTCAAACAGTTCTAGGTGCAAATGTAGTCAGACTGTAGTCCTGTCGCTTTAAAGACGAATGTACAAGGGCTGATGACACAATCACAAATATCTATTGAAAAAATGAGTCACCCGAGCTCACGTTCAAGCGTGTATTCTTGTGCAAACATCATTAAAGCAACATGATTATGATTAGAACTGTTTGACCAGGTTGTGGATCATAATAATATTGTAAATAACGTTTAATTTCTTACATGGACAGATAATTTTGCTTCACAAGGCCTCAGTGTGTCAGCTATTAATTTGGACTCGTCTGTATGTGTTTATTTTTTATGTCAAAAGATGATCTCATTATATGAATCACCATGGATTCAGATTCAAATCTTCTGTAATGTTCTACTGAAGAGAGAAAAGCACCTATATCTTGGATGACCTGTGGGTGAGTAAATTAATGGGAAATCTTAATTTTTGGGTGAACTATAAATCTCTTTAACACAAAAGCTTACCGCTACAGCCTCGATCTTCAGGTCGTCTTCACTACTGGGTTCAGTGAGCTCCAGAAGCACAGGGCAGACCTTTCCTTCCATATCTGGTTTACTCATCAAACCTTGTTCAAGTAGTATCAGCAAAGCAGCCTGGCTCGTCTTTCGAACCTAAGGAAAAACAAAGACAGATTTTAACAACAATGAGGTATTAGGATCTATAATAAGTTTAACCACTTTAATATTGTCTTCAGATTATGAATAATAAAGTGAACATAGCTTAAGTGATCTGATAGTTGTTGTGAAATGTACAGTTTATTACAAAAGAGGTATGATCTGTTGGTAGTACAGAATCATTACACAATAGGAAGGTTTAGAAATTCAACCCTAAAGTTTTCAGCATGTCAACAGTAAAGGATTAAGCAAAGTATGATGTTTGCAAAAAAATGTTTCTCAGCATTTTTGAATGTTCCTCTTTAAAGCACTTTCAATCGAAAACACTAACCAAACTTAATAAGCTGTATTCTTCTATCTCTCCTTTGTGTGACCTATGGTCATATATTCTGGTTTTGTCCAGAAGCATCTGAAATTTGGAAAAGTATCTTCAGACTTTATTCTCAGGCTTTCAAAAAAGTCATTAAAACTTATGTGGAATTAGCATTGTTTGAATAAGACTCTAACTTGGCCAAAAAATCAACAACCCTCTCTTATGTTTGGCATGGTGCTACCAAAGAGAGTGATTCTGATGGAGATGAAATCCACCACACCTCTTATTTTTTTTTTTTAATGGTTAGCTGAAATGGTTTCTGCCCTCAAGCTGAAAAGATTACTTTTCTAGATTTGGCAAACAGAAGATTCATGACAATATGTGGGGCCCCTTCCTCAGATGGATCCATTTACAAGGCTCTGTAATTTTTTTTTCTGTGATATTTTATTTTCTCCTGCCATTTTACATGTCTACTATTTTGCTTAATATTCCAATATTCTGGCTGAGATTCTTTTGATGATGCTGTATAATTGCTGTTTTGTTTGCCATTGTTTTGGTGCATGTTCTGGGTGGTATCAGGTAATAACACCGAGATAATGTATATTTGTTAATAAAAATTATGTACGCTATTGAGTGTAATGTTTTCATAAACAAATTTAAAAAATAAAGTAAAAAAAAACACTAAAGCTCAAGCATTCTTGAACTAAAAAAAGGCAAATAATTAAACTTTAAAATAAAAATGTATTTTATTTACATTTATTGATGTTTTAATGCCATGTTAATGCCATTCCAATGCCATTTGGAAAAGTGGCAGAAGGCAGATTTTTCTGATGGATCATCTGTTAAACTGCATCCCAATTATCACAAATACTGCAGAAGACCTACTAGAACCAGCATGGACCCAAGATTCTTACAGAAATCAGCAAGTTTGGAGAAGGAAAAATCATGGTTTGGGGTTACATTCGATATGGGGACGTGCGAGAGATCTGCAGAGAGGATGGCAACATCAACAGCCTGAGGTATCAAGACATTTGTGCTGCCCATTACATTACAAACCACAAAAGATGGCAAATTCTTCAGCAGGACAGGGCTCCTGCTCATGCTTCAGCTTCCACATCAAAGTTCCTGAAAGCTAAGAAGGTAAAGGTGCTCCAGGATTGTCCAGCCCAGTCACCAGACATGAACATTATTGAGCACGTCTAGGGTAAGATGAAGGAGGAGGTATTGAAGATGAATACAAAGAACCTTGATGAACTTTGGGAGTCCTACAAGAATGTTCTTTGCTATTCCATATTGTTATTTATTAAGTTATTAGAGTCATTGCAGAGATGTATGGATGCAGTCCTCCAAGCTCATGGGAGTCAGACACAATATTAATTCTGTTTCCACTGCACCATGACTTTATATTCTATACTGTACATTATTTCTGTTAAGTGACAAGACTTTTGTCTAAACAAAGTCAGATCTTACTGTCTTAATTTAATAATTAAAAATCAAGGCATGATCATATTTTATTTTGGTAAAATAAGCGTAATCTAGAGGCCTTTGCCTTTCATATTAGCCACTTCTGATACACAATGACCAACCTAAAACTTGGATAGGCGACAAGCCTTTTGTCAGGTAGTGTGTATTATATTATACACTATATCATTTATTCAATAGACATTTTACAAACATAGGTTTCTTAATAAACATTATACAAAAAAAAAAAATACAGACAACAACAATACTGACAAATAAATAAACAAAAAAAAAATCTGTAATTATTTCATCCATTAGGAAGAACATCTCACAGGACAAATATTTTTGCTAAATAAAACTCACTTGATTATTAGGATCTGTAAGATAGCGGACCACTATGGGAACCAGGTACCGTGAGAAAGCTTCTGGGAAATTGGGGCGATTTTCATGGAGGAACATGGCAATGTTTGGCACCTGTTCCATTAGCTCTGCTCGCACTGTCGGTTCTGTAACATCGCATTACATTTATGACATTACACAGAGTTCCACCATACGGAATCAAGTCAAATAAAGTCTAAAGCCATACAAACCTCCATCCTCAGACATCCTGGCAACCGTTTCCATGACACTGATGAAGTCATTTTCATTAGCACTGAACTCCCGGAGAACATCCAGCAATCCACGAGCCACAATTTGCCTGAAAATACATAAAGCATACAATAACATTAGAATTTACCACAAAATTGTCTAAACGCAATATTTCCAACAAATTTCAAGCTATAATATCAGTAATAACATAAGAAGCTTTAAGTATGAGCCAAATTCTTCTGCAATGACAATTTTGGCTCCTTACAGCTATTTCTGGTCTAACTTAATATCAGGTGTACTTTAAGCCTTTACATTTTGAAACTCATGTTCCACCATTGTGCCATAAAAGTTCTTCTGTATCGATTCACACTGGAATTCAAGTGATAGTTACATTATGGACATCTTACACTACTCCTAAAAAAACACCAAGTATTGCATGACAGAGGAAAACACAGAGGTCTCACATAACACGTCTCACAGTTACTGGTTTCACACTGCAGAGCTTCACATCTCACCTGTTGAAGACGTTTTCACTGAAAGCATATTTCTCCAGCCGGCCCAGAGGGGTGAGATTATCCTGGCCTGCATCCAGGAATGCTGTTATCCGAATCCCTTCACACTCCGAACCATAGTCATCGAATCCAACTGCAAGACAGACCCATAGGGACAGTTAATGGTCAAGTATACAAGTTAACATGCAGTGTATTGGTCCTATCAAATGACAAATCAGTTAAATTGAACTAGAAATCCACTCTAATGAAAAGAGAAATGGTTTATTTTTTGTAGAAAGAACAGTAAATCAATTTTTATTTCATTCAATAAACTTCTGCCTGCAAAGATGGTTACACTTTAGCTGTCTGTAGAATAACTAGGAAAGATTGTTAAGTGCAATAACAAGTCTTGTTCGGCTTTCTTGATTTTTTTGGTCAAGAGAACAGGGATTCCCAAACTTTTCAGCCTGTGACCCCCTAAATAACAATGCCAGTGACTCGTGACCTTAATATCCTCTGAGGTGATAATAAAAATATCTAGCAAGCATTTTTTGTTTTTAAAAGATGTCTAAACATAGTTGTCTTGGCTAAAACGAGGCTAAATTTGGGCTTTCAGTGAAGACGTCTAAAAAAAGGCCAAGACTAGACTAGACTAGTCATCAAATAAACAGAAATAAATGACTACACATTTAAAGTCCGTCTAATCTGTCTATTTGACGACTAGTCTAGTTTTGAGCTATTCTTAGATGTCTATTAGAATTTCACTGACAGCCTAAGTTTAGTTATTAGTCGTCTATTAAACACAAAATTGTTTGCTGGGCATAAACCCTGCACAGAACGGAGCTATTCATTGTTTAATTTTGGAGAACACCACTCAGAGAACATCCTCCATGTTTAATTGTGGCCTGTATTTTTTTTTTATGTATGCGATTGCCGTAACGGTGTCAGAAAGTAGAAGCTGGTGCTTTAAAATGTGCTGTATCTGATATTTTAATATAACGTACTAAAAGGGGTTGCAAAAAAAAATACTATTAATATTTAAAAGGCTGATGGCATTTTATTTGCATGTTGTTTTACTAATGTGTCAATTAACTACTATTTCTTCTTCTGTATGCTATGGATAAACTATGGTATTTCTTATAGTTTAATAAAATGAATTAGATTTTTGGCCCCCATCTCCCCTCATTGTCCCATGACCCCCACTTTGGGAACCACTGGTCTAGATCAAAACAAGAAAAATTAAACATTTGGTCCTGGATCTTTCAGCTGTCATTTTAAACATGAAACCTAAAAATGGAGGGGAAAATGCGTTTCCAATGTCTGTGTTGAATTTAATTGGGCAAAATGCCACATCAGCAACATTGACTCTTCATGGCAATACTTGTACTAAATATTCAATATGTGATTTGCAATTATAACGGTTTCTTAATCATTCGTTCATTGTCCAAAAATATATACAAATAACAACATTGATAAAAAGTCTTAAAGTTGTTTCAGTTTGATCAATGGTAAAAATTCTTTCAGAAAACCCCTTTTAAACATTTCCCGAATAAAAACATTTCCTAATATCACCAACAAATCTACCATTAATTAAAGTATGTTTTCAACACTGCAACTATCATGAGACAAAAACAGATATGCTTAAGTCATGTCCTGTTTTTGTTCCTTTAGCTGACTTTGGTTCATGTTTCATTCATATTTCAGTTCACCACTGTTTGTTTGAAAGCAGACTCATTTCTTAAAAGTATTTTTCTGTCAGTGTTTTGATGTGCACCAGTTCAGATGGCAGTGTTTATATTTAATCACAACAGATGAACTAAACATTGCACGAGAGTTTCTATTAGTTAAATCAAAACCTACAGTGTGAACAAACCCTTAAAATCATTGAAAGATCATATTATAAAGTCAATTAAACAAACATTAATATTTTAGGGGTAAAAAATGAACATTTTCACCACAATTAAGCAAATATTCTTTTCTCTGGTTTTTATTTAAGAAAAAAAACATTTCTGTTAACGTAATTTCTCAAAGGTTTTTTCTATTCAAATCAGTATTTCGACAGTACAGCAAATATTACCATGACAAAAGTATTGTGAAATAATGTCTTTTGCACTATATTTTGTATTTATAAATGCATTACAATTGCTTGAGTTTAATAATCAAAGTAATTTTTACTTTTAATCAATATTTGAGGATAAATAAAACTTTCCTAAAAGGTCATATAAGATTAACAAATCCATATATAAGATTCGCACTGATAAAATTTGCTGAAGAGTTCTGTATACTCACAGTCATCCAAATCATCATGACCATCTTCAAAATATAAAGACAGACCTGGGGAAACAAACACAACATTTCAAATCAAAGGCTGACTTGTGAAAAGTGTTTAAGAAGATAAACTGTCAGTTTAAAGTCATGCTGGCATCTGTCACATAAAGTTGGGTTGTGTCTTTTACAACCCAGTCCTAGCTAAGCTACCAAGCTGGACAGCATTTTAGGCCTTTAACTTAAAAAAAAACACTCATAATGTCCAAAAACTGCTGTTTATTTTCGTAAGATAGTATGCTAGCTTATATGACACAGGCTTAACATGTATCACAATGTTAGTTTACTCTATATCTCACTTGTCAACTGAGGGTAACTTTAAATGACTACATGACATTGCGTGCTAAACAGTAAGTTACTAGGGCACGGTGTGTGTGAAACACTTTATGTTGTAGTGTAAAAGTGCATACAGGCTGTACTTAAAGTATGACACGTATTTTGTACGTTTTAAAGGTTATAAGCTAATGTTATCCAAGCGTGTTAACCGGAATCGACCCCGGTGGTCAGGCTGGCTAACAAACTGACAGTCAAGCTCCAGTCAACTAAACTACATTGGTATGTACTATTTAATTCAAAGTACAACATAATTTCCACCATAAATTATTTAATACATCACATATTACCTTGTTGGCTAAACCTAGCTGTTTATTACAGTAAGGTTACTTTTTATAATACCCCAGGATGTTACCGTTAGCTCCCCAACTCGCAACTAGTGTTAATCCACTTAAAATTTCCCCAGGCAGGGACCTTTGTTCTTACAACATCAGAAATGTAAAAATGGTATAAAAAATTATTAAAGTCAACAGTGATAACATAGCAGATTCTCTTTAAACCGCCTCATAAAGCTTTAAATAAACATACTAAAGCACGTTACCTGCCATCTTGATTTACAGCGGCGCTGTCACTCCACTTCCTCAAAAGATTTCCTGCTCTTATTTCAATCCCGGCATCTATGTGAAGATCGAGTACATATAAAACAAAGAGGAAGTCAACGAAACAAAGCACTTTATAGCGAGTAAATAGCGCAAATTCCCGTATCACTCAACCGAACGCTCGGTGAGGAAAAAAATAAGACAATGTCGGTCACGTGACTAGTCTACAGACGTCCGATTCGTGAATGAGTTGTTCACATGAGTCGGATCTTTTCCGGGAATCAATTGAACCGTCTCACAGAAAAGAACTGAATGGTTCTTTCATGAATGGTTCTTCAAAAATGTATTTATTGTACTATTTCAGCTCAAACCGTGGTATTTGGTTATACATAACAAGCCAAAAATAGCAACTGACACTTTAAGAGATAAAAAGCAATCACAGCGGCTCTTTATACTGATACTCAGTGGTGTAAATTACAAATACTCAAATTACTGTATTCGAATAGTTTTTCTCAGGTATTGTAATTTACCAGGTAGTTATTAAAATGTGTACTTTTACTTTCACTTGAGTATATTTTAGTGCTGTATCGGCACTTCGCTATTTTCCTTCAACTTGCATTCTCTACATTAGTTTTTCTTGTCAATGGGGAGTGGCTGAATAGAAAAGGGGCCCTTTAGAAATGCACCATTTGGAAGCATTAAAAGTGTCCAAGAAGATGTGCAAATCTTTACACGCAATGACCCAGAGACTGTTTGACTGCGCATCACTGATGAGAAGATGGCGGATACTTACTGTATGATGACTGAAATCGCCAAACGGCCTTTAATAATCACTAAATGCACTACAGGATGTTACGTTTACATCCACACAAATGCACAAATTGCATGTAAACGCATCAGCTTTTCACAATGTGATACTCAATGGATACTCACTGCTTTTGAGTACTTTTGAAAGGGCTTTTATTTATACTTAAACTAATGTTTACAACCAGCGGTGTAACTAATTACAAACACTCAAATTAAAGCAATCGAGTAGTTTGTCTCAGGAATTGTTATTTACTAAATAGTTTTATAAATGTGTACTTTTACTTCCCCTTGAGTACATTTTTAGTGCTGTATCGGTACTTTTACTTCACTACTTTTCTTTCAACCTGCAGTCACTACTTTATTTTTTCTTGTCTATGGGGATTAGAAAGTTTAGTCCTTTGTTTCCTGTCCAATCAAATCACACATAGAAGGTAAATCACATCATACTAAACCACCTCAAGACATGGGCGATTTATAATTGCAGCAAACTATTTGGAAGCATTAAAAGTGTACGAGAAGATGTCCAAAATCTTTACACACAATGACCCTGAGACTGTTTAGATGCACTGATGAGAAGATGACGGATGTTTACTGTATGATGACCAAAATGGCCTTAAACAGCCAGCAAGCACAAGAGGTCAACATGACATGTCATTGGGACTTTGCATTTTGTTTGAACATAAAAATCATGTTGACGTCAAAACTCAACATCAGGTCATTGTCCAACCTAACCAAGTATCAACGTTTAATGATGTTACAGCTTGACGTTGTGTGGACATTACCACAATGTCTATCAGGTGTTGGATTTTGGCTGCCATACCTGACGAATAAATGTCAGTATTTGATGTCAATACGACCTTGGTTTAAGATGTTGAATTGGCGTTGGATTTTGGTCAGTTTATATCATAAAATAAAATCGACCAAATATCAACATCATTTGATGTCATTATTAGACGTCAAAATAATGTTGTCCTTGTGACATTGTGTGCCTGCTGGGCAATAAGTAAATGCACTACAGAATGTTACGTTTACACACATTCACAAATTACATGTAAATGCATCTGCTTTTCACAGGGTAATACTTACTACTCACTACTCTTGAGTACTTTTGAATAGGCTACTTTTTACTCATACTTTAAGTAATATTTACAACAGATACTTTTACTTTACTTGTGCTACATTTTTGGGCAAGTAATGGTACTTTTACTATGATTTTTCAGTACTCTTTCCACTACTGCTCATACTTTATTCATTGAAGTTATATTAACTGACAAGATCGGTTTGTGCAAGCAGCTGAATTCACATTCAAAAAGGAATTGGCAGCATATGTTTATACTGAATGATGCACTTTGTGTGACTGTGGAAAGTTAACAAACAGCATCAGTTCATGTGTGAGTTTGAGTCCATGTGTATTGCATACATATATGATTATTGTGAACATGCAGGATCCCTTGGCAAGGCTGTGAAGTTGAAAAGGTTGTAAATAACGTTCAACTCTCCAAAGGGTGCTAATCAATGACACACAGGTAGAGGTTGTGGAGGAATATAGGTATAGGAACAATTATGGACAACAGGTTGAAATTTGATCTAAATACACATACAATTGTTAATAAGGCTCATCAAAGACTGTTTTTATTGCTGAAACTCTTTGCTACATTAACTCTTTTAATGTAGAGAATGTTATTCTTAAGACATTTTACAATTCATTTATTGAAAGTATCTTGTCCTTTCCCTTTATTTGCTGGTTTTCTTCACTATCTATAAAAAACTAGAGTCGTCTTCAAGGCATCATGTGTTCAAAGATTTTGGGAGTTCCCCTGCAAAATCTTGCATACTATTACGAACAGCAGGTGTTGAGGGTGGCACATAAAATACTAGGAGACAGAGTCTATGCCCCTTGGTCGACGTCTAAGGACAATAAGATGTTCCACAAATCGTTATAAGTTTACTTTTGCGCTTGAAGCAATTAGGTTATATGTATAAGGTTAAATGTAGTTAATCAATTTGTGTACTTGTTGTTAAGTATTAATGTTTATTATGTTAAGTGTGTCATTTTTGTTATACTGTATGTGAAGCACCACCATGTCGAAATGAATTGCCCCCAGGGGATTAATAAAAAATAAATAAATAAATTCCACAGGTCAATTGTTTTGATTCATGAAACCTAATTTTATCATCAGACCATGCACTAATTCAATTTTGTAAATTTAGATTTGTTTGTAAAAGAGTTAGAAATTGTTTTTAAAGTAATCCTGCATTTCAGTAAGTAATATATATATATATATATATATATATATATATATATATATATATATATATATATATATATATATATATATATATATATATATATATATATAGAAAATTTTGGTTTAAAAATTTATTTAATTTATTAATTTATGTATATAAATTGTTGTTAATAAGGTAAGAAGATTAAGAAAATATATTTTCTTTTTATGTAAAGTTTCTGGTTTATAATTAACAAAATCAAACAAATTCTCAATTACAAAAAGAGAAGAAACTTTCCAAAGCAAGTTAGAATAACTGCATTGCCAAAGTAAGTGAACTACGAACTCAGAGTGTTGCTTGCAAAATGAACAATTAGTATCATTATCTTTTTTTATATCTTATGAAAGTATTCTCGGCATGAACGATGAATAGTTTTAAATAAAACTTCTCTTATCTTTCTGTCTAATAGTATTATTTGTATGTGATTTTTAGATATTTTTTCTTAAGACTATGTATATTATTGACCTTTTTAAAGATCAGTCTGTGATCCCTTGAACTTTGTTATGATGTTCTTGTATTTTCAGTGCAAGCAATAAATAAACAACCAAATAAATAAATAAATAAATAAATTTAAATTTAAATTTAATTAATTAATTAATTAATTAATTAATTAATTAATTAATTGCACTGAAAATACAAGAACATCATAACAAAGTTCAAGGGATCACAGACTGATCTTTAAAAAGGTCAATAATATACATAGTCTTAAGAAAAAATATCTAAAAATCACATACAAATAATACTATTAGACAGAAAAGGAAAAATAATAGAATTATAGCATTAATAATAATAAAATAATAATACTATAAATACTAAATTAAACGAATTAAATTACAATAACATTTCAACAAATAACCATAAGGAAAGGCAACTAAAAACGAGAATTTTCTGCATAATATTTCAGGAATCTTAGATTTTTTTTTACCAAGTGATGACGCAATAATTTATTAGTGGAAACTGCTTTTGAACAGTTCAGTGAATCTAACTGTTCGTAAGAACCGATTCGTGGGCACGACTTCCCATAACTAGACTCGTTAACCGGAGTTCAAGATGGCGACCAGAGAGCTGCTAATATCGCAACTAATCGATCATTAACATAACATCTGAATCCTCGTATTACTTTAAACTGTACCAGTTATGTCAACATTCCTCATCGGCTTCGTATATATTACAAAAGCAGTGGATATCCGACACTAGTTGTGTGAACAGAGACTGTGTGTGTTGTTGTTTTTAGCTTACGTCAAATAGAAATAGTTGCTGAGCAGCTTTATGAAACTATTTGGAATGATTGGAAAGTTTTCATTAGTTTGGAGGTCAACATGTCGCTAAGAGAGCTGAAAGTATGCCTTCTTGGGGTAAGATTTCTTTCCCACTTTTTATGACTTGACGTTGCTATGGTGGATTGCATATTTAATGTTTTTATTGCTCCGTTGCTCGACTAACACAGCGTTATTGCTGGCTTTAACTTCCAATAAACCGTGACAGCGTTTTTATTCTGTTGTGAAAGCTTTGGTTGATTTCCAAAACATTACAGTAATATTTGTGGGCTGATGACGTATTAAACCATCCATTCAGAAGAAGTGTACAGTCAATGTTTAGAAAAGTCAGAGAAGTTAACTGTTACTTTTTAATCAGGGGATAACTGGGCTTAACGTTACCTCATCGATTGATAGTAGTTTTGTCAGGCTTTAATTCTTTATGTCAGGTTAATTATAATTCCATTTGACAAAATCGTTCACCTATATTTGACCTACACAGTGCAGCATGTATTAGTACATCCCTCACAAATCTGTCTTTTAAATTCCTATTTTTAATAGGACGCTACAATATTACATTTGTGCATATACATTAGATTAGTAAGTACTAAAGCCAAATCTGGAGCTAATCTAACATAAATACACATTTAAAATAGGAATAATCTAGAGAAAAAAGTTAAAAATTAAGTTTAAATTTTGTAGGTTGTAATTTTATTTAATTGTTTGGTATTTCGATTTCTAAATAAGTTTGTTGACTAAAATATTATTTTAATAAATATCTCTTTTTAATAAATTAATTTTGTTCAAATGCACTAAAACATTGACATGTCATGGGTCATGTAACTGTGAAACAATATAAATGTATAATAAAACCAATTCATATTAATGGTTGTGCAATTATATACATAGATCTAAAGTTTTTAAAGATGCATGCTCAACTGTTAAACTGTCAGCTTATGATTTGAATCCGGAAGAAAGTAGTTCCTCATACAAAAGGGTTTTTGAGACTCTCCATGTTTGATTTTGCTTTTATACACAATTATGCCGTCAAACTGTTGTATAAACGCAATATCACACTCGTAGCAGTGCGATATGGCTGTATATCGGCACTGGTGGGGGCACTAAGGCACTGGCCCTGCGGCCTTGTGCCAATGCACGCTTCCCACCAGTGCCGATATTGCTCATATATATATATACTGTAAAAAAATCAATACGTTTACGGTTTATTTTCGGCAGCTGGGGTGCCAGAAAAAGCATAAATAACGGCCGTTAAATTACAGAAATGTACTGTAAAATAGCAGCGGTTGAATTACAGAAATTTACCAGAAATTTTAATTTACAGAATCAGTTATTTCACGGTACTTCTTTAGTTTAACAGCCGTTATTTATGTTTTTTTTTCAACACCCCAGCTGCCAGAAATAAACCATAAAATTACAGATTTTTTTTACAGTGTGTGTATATATATATATATATATATATATATATATATATATATATATATATATATATATATGAATAATTAGGGACAGCTTGAAAATCTAAAAAAAAAAGTCATTCTGGTTTATAGCGCAATGTTTGTTTTATTCGTTTAACCACTGATGACATTTCTTTTAAATTTAAAATAAAAAGCTTGTGATTTAAATATTTTTTCATTGTTTTAAATAACAATGGCATGCTATGATTACGGGTGATGCAGTGGCGCAGTGGGTAGCACTGTCGCCACACAGCAAGAAGGTCGCTGGTTAAAGCCTCGGCTGGCTCTGTTGGCATTTGTTTGCATGTTCTCCCCATGTTCACGTGGGTTTCCTCCGGGTGCACTGGTTTCCCTCACATGTTCAAAGACATGTGGTATTTGAATTGGATAAGTTAAATTGGCCGTAGTGTATGTGTGTGAATGAGTGTGTATGGATGTTTCCCAGTGGTGGGTTGCAGCTGGAAGGGCATCGGCTGCGTAAAACATATGCTGGATAAGTTGGCGGTTCATACAGCTGTGGCAACCCCAGATTAATAAAGGTAATAAGCTGGAAAGAAAACAAATGAATGCCATGATTGCAGATAGGCATGGGCCAGTATAAGGTTCTGACGGTATATGAAAACTTGGATAAAAATATCACAATTTCACGGTTTGATGGTATTGTGATTACTGCTTAAAAATATGTTCTTCTGGGTAAAAAAACAACAACTTTTTTTCCTTTTGAACACAATATATTTTATTTTAAGAAACAGAAAACATGTCAGGCTAAATAATTTAAATAAATCATTGACCTCTGCTGTATTCATTAGTTTACAAAACATATTTCTTTAACTAGTTTTAGATTTCTATAACAGAAATTTTTTGCGGTTTTAAAACCTTGACATTTTAAAACCATGGTAAACTTTCAAAATGGTTATCGTCTTTTGCCCAATTGCAGAACATTTTATAATATGTTTTAGACGACACAATACCAATATATTAATATCAGAAGGGTTAAAGATATCAATATTTGTGGGAACCCTGATTTTTCGATCAATGAAAACATTTGTTATTCTGACCAGTTGTCATTTTCTGAAAAGTAGTATTATAAAACATTTTTTAAAATCACATTTGATGAAATAAAACAGAATAAAAGATGCTTACTAATGGTTTATGCTTTCAGTTTGGTTGAAAAAAGTAATTATTGATGCATAATTAATATATTTATTATAAAAGTAAAAAAAAAAATCAAAAGCTTTCATTCAGATTTTTAGAAATGCATATAAAGCTGTTTAAATGCACAGTATGTCTACACAAATTTTTTTTAAATTACCATAGTATACTTTTTTATTCATGTGTTGTGTTACTAATGGTCGTTTTGTTTCCTAGGACACAGGAGTTGGAAAGTCAAGCATTGTGTGTAGATTTGTGGAGGATAGTTTTGATCCAAACATAAATCCAACAATTGGGTAAGCATCTAGCAAAACACACTCACTGATGTCAAACCAACTGTGATTTTGTGCAGGTTTTGAATGATTGTCACGTAGCAAACAGCAAGACATAACTTGAATTGAAAGCAAAACTGTTTCAAGCAAACAAAGTTGATACTTGGTGTTTTGAAACTTCCTCAGGAGGAGTATCAGGAAGAGTTTTCTCAAAAAATGATTTGTTTTATTAGTATTGTAATATAATAATAATAATCCTGTATTGTACATAACAAAACAATATCTGTTAAGCCAGTATCTGGGATTAGGTACACTAGCTGGCCTGATAAAACGGAATGTAAAACAGACTCATGTTCTTTTAACTGATTAAAATGAAAACAAAATAATAACAATAATAATTACAAATAAGGAGGGTTACAGATTTTTTTTCTGAACTGTCCCGATTGAGTTACACAAGTCTAAATGATATGCATTTCAGGCTTCGTGTTCAACAATAAAGATTTTTCTGTATTTCAAGTTGAATGTTCAATTCTAATAAATGTTTTCAAGACAAAAAAAATCCAGCTCAAAATGAGTCACTGCCAAGAGTTTTTTTCTGCAACAGATTTTGTTTTCACAATATTTTTTTTATACTAAAGCTACGATTGTTGGAGTATTTTGTATGATCAAATACTTTTTCAGTATTTAATGTAATAATAATAATATAATTATATTAATATATTATAATAATATAATAGTATTTTATATTCTAAGTGAAAATGTTTTATTTTTTTAATCTTGTTATTGAATTCACACCTGGCAAAAACACTAGTAAACTGTTCTGAATTTATCTTATAAGTAGATCCACATGTCACTAACATATTTCCCTCATTTATCACTCAGATATAAATGGAGTTAAATATAGTAAAGGTGTATTAAACAAAGCTGAGAGCGTTATTAGCATGTGTATGTGTTATTAACTTGGCAGACCTGGCTATTTGTATAGCATATGCCTAATGCTATTTTAATTATGCCTGTTCTATTTTTATGGAAATTGTTTTTGTTTCTTTTATTTTAAATAAAAGAAAGATTATTTGAATGTGCTATATGGGAAATACTATTTTACTATTCAGCATATTTTTGTAATTATTCATAAAAATAATTAATCAGTTTCTGAGTGAAAAAGTATTTTTTTTTGCTCCTATTTTCCTCATTTATCACTCCGATATAAAGGGATTTAAATATAGAAAAGTTGTGTTAAACAAAGCTGAGAGCCTTATTAACATGTGTATGTGTTATAAACTTGGCAAACCCGCATACCTTAATTTAATAGAAAATGCTTAATGCTATTTTTAATCCTGACTATTCTATTTTTAAACAATTTTTTGTTTGTTTTTTCAGTTAAAAAACAAGATTATTAGAGTATGTTATATATATATATATATATATATATATATATATATATATATATATATATATGTATATATAAAATACAGTTTCAGTATTTTTTGTAATTATTTGGGAAATGTAATAAGTAAAAATGTAATTAATTTTTGCTTAGATTATTGAATTCACATCTGGTAAAACACTTAGAAATAGAAAAGCTGTATTAAACAAAACTGAGAGACTTATTAGCATGTGTATGTGTCATAAAAATGTCAAACCTGGCTATTTATAACCTAATGCTATTTATAATCATGGCTATTCTACTTTTAGAGCAGTTGTTTTACTTTTATTATTATAAAACAAAGATTATTGGGGTATTTTGTTTGGAAAAAAATACAGTTTTACTATTCAGCATTTTTTGTGGCTATTTGTGAAATTGAATGGCAGTTTCTGGGTGAAAATGTATTTATTTTTTGCTCAGATTATTGAATTAACACTTGAAAACGTCTGAATTTATCTTATAAGTAGATCCACATAATAAATAGATTTAAATAGAGTAAAGCTGTATTAAACAAAGCTGAGAGTCTTATTAGCGTGCGTATGTGTTATAAACGTGAAAAACCCCCATGTCTAGATATATAGTTAATGCTATTTTTATTTTTTAATCATGCCTGTTTCGATTTTTTTTTTAGAGCATCGTTTATGACAAAGACTGTGCAATACCAAAATGAGCTTCACAAATTCCTCATCTGGGACACAGCAGGACAAGAAAGGGTAAACAGTAACAATCACTACACACACAAAGACACTGTGGTAACACATCAACAAGCTGACAGCCATTAAATACAATGTTTGCTCTGTTTCACTTCTGTTTTTGCGGTGTCTCTATAAATCCGACAGGGGGCAGTATTGCATGCAGGTTTCTTAAATGCGAGCATAAAAGGGACAGTTCGCTCAAAATTGAAAATTCAGTCATCATTTACTCAGTTTTCACTTGTTTCAAGTCAATTTAAGTTTTTTTTTCTGTTGAACACAAAAGAAGAAATTTTGAAGAATGTTGGAAACCTGTAACCATTGACTGCCATAGTGCTTTTATGGAAGTCAGTGGTTACAAGTTTTCAGCTTTCCTCAAAATATCTTCTTTTTTGTTTAATCAGAAACTCGCAAATCTCTTGAGTAAATAGCGAGTAAATGCTTATTTTTTGTGAACTATCCCTTTTATGTCATTGGAAAGCGTTCAGGCTTCTTAATAAATCTGTAAACGCTCTTCTGTTTCTAAACACTCGGTGTTAGAAGAGACAGCTGAAACGTACGCTTGTCATGATTTGATGGCTGTCTTGAGGCTGTTTGGAATATGATCTCTTCTCATGTTTGTCTGTGATGTTATGTGATGCTAAATGTAGAATGCCAAGCGGCCCACACAAGCTGCTAGAAAAAATAGTACCATACCAAGTGTTAAGGAATTACTTCTCTCGCCTCTCTGAGTCCACTTTCTGCGACTTTTTAGCATGCATAAACTATAAAGGAGAATAAACAAATGTTGGGGATAATTTTAGTAGCAGATTTGTGGCATTTATCATCTTAAATCATGTCCTTTGCACTTAAAAATTTTGCTGGTTGTATGGCGGAAGATATACGATATTGCTTGTGATATAACACTTCCCTAGAGGAGAGCTGTTTTTTTTTTTAAAGTTATTTATTAGGTTAAATAAATGATTATAATAAAATAAATGTATTTATTTTTTATGTAATGATCATATTAAAATAAACAGGTAATAATTAATATTTTTTCTGATCTAAAAAACTTGCTCTGCACTCACCGGCCACTTTATTAGGTACATCTGTTCAACTGCTCTTTAATGTAAATTTCTAATCAGCCAATCACATGTCAGCAACTCAATGCATTTAGGCATGTCTAAATGATCCAGACAATCTGCTGCAGTTTAAACCGAGCATCAGAATGGGGAAGAAAGGTGATTTAAGCGAGTTTAAACATAACATGGTTGTTGGTGTTAGACAGGCTGGTCTGAGTATTTCAGAAACTGCTGATCTACTGGGATTTTCATGCACAACCATTCCTAGGGTTTACAGAGAATGGTCTGAAAAAGAGAAAATATCCAGTGAGCGGCAGTTCTGTGGGTGCCAATGCTTTGTTGATGCCAGAGGTCAGAGGAGAATGGCCAGACTGGTTCCAGCTGATAGAAAGGCAACAGTAACTCAAATAACCACTCGTTACAACTGAGGTATGCAGAGGAGCATCTCTGAACGCACAACACGTCCAACCTTGAGGCAAATGGGCTACAGCAGCAGAAGACCACACCGGGTGCCACTCCTGTCAGCTAAGAACAGGAAACTGAGGCTACAATCTGCACAGGCTCACCAAAATAAGACAACAGAAGATTGGATGATTGATGAGTCTCGATATCCATCCTGCCTTGTATCAACGGGCTGGTGGTGTTATGGTGTGGGGGATATTTTCTTGCCACACTTTGGGTCCATTATTAGCAATTGAGCATCGTATCAATGTCACAGCCTACCTGAGTATTGTTGCTGACCATGTTCATCCCTTTATGACCACAGTGTACATGTCTTCTGATGGCTACTTCCAGCAGGATAACACGCCATGTCACAAAGCGCGAATCATCTCAGACTAGTTTCTTAAATTCACCTAGAGTGCACGTCTTTGGACTGAGGGGGAAACTAAAGCACCTGGAGGAGACCCTCTCCAGTATAGGGAGAACATGCAAACTCCACACAAACGCCAAACTGGTCCAGCCAGGACTCGAATCAGCGACCTTCTTGCTGTGAGGCGACAGTGCTAACCATTGAGCCATCATGCTGTTATATATTTATCTTATAACTATAAAATAATTTAAAATTTATTTCATTTGAGAGCTGCAAAATATCTGCAGTGGTCTCAAATGTCTGAATCTCTCTCTTCAGTATGAAACTCTGAACATATGGGAAAGTCTGATTGTCTCGCCTCTTTCCCCTCATCTGGTCCTGTTTAGCGCTTTGATGTTTTCCCACCGGTAAAGATGGTGCAGGTTCATCATCATGGCCTTTGAGCGGTTAAACAGGTCAAGTTTTCTTTGCTTTCTTTTGTTCAAGATGCTGCAGAGCCTGATGGGATGAAACTTAAGGCCTTGTCAGACTTTTAGAAGTGTACTCTCTCTCTTTCACTCTCTCTTTCACTCTCCCTCTGTTCCTCTTTCCTAGTGTGTTTCTTCTTTCTTTTCTAATTTCAAGCTCCATTGTGATTTTGTGAGAAGAAGACAGTTCTTTCCACAGATTCCTGTACTCCTCCAAGAGCTGTGATCAGGCTTTTCACTGACTGTCAGGCTCTTGATTAGATAATTATCCAACACATTGCTCTTTAGAGCAGCGCTGTAGAAACCTGTTTTCAACTTTTGCTCTTTGCTTTAATGGTTTTGTGGATGCATTTAGTTTAAGAGTGCACTGTAACAAAGGCAGGGTTCCACACAATTCCTTCATGCTGTCCCAACACAAACAGATTCAGTTAACTTGATTGGCTTTACTAATTTAAGTGGATTAAAAACTTAAGAATTGTTGATTCAGCTAATTTATTTAAGTAGTTTGAACAAGCAGCAAAAATTCTTTTTTTTTTGATTGTGACAGTACTGTAGAAACTTTTAATAACCCCCCCCCAAAAGTTTTATATACACTCACCGGCCACTTTATTAGGTATACCTGTTCAACTGCTTGTTGATGCAAATTTCTAATCAGCCAATCACATGGCAGCAACTTGGTCAAGAGGATCTGCTGCAGTTTAAACCAAGCATCAGAATGGGGGAGAAAGGGGATTTAAGTGACTTTAAACGTGGCATGGTTGTTGGTGCCAGACAGGTTGGTCTGAATATTTCAGAAACTGCTGATCTACTGGGATTGTCACGCACAACCATCTCTAGAGTTTACAGAAAATGGTCCGAAAAAGAGAAAATATCCAGTGAGCGCCAGTTCTGTGGGTGCAAACGCTTTGTTGATGCCAGCAGAAAACCACCATGGGTGCTACTCTTGTCAGCTAAGAACAGGAAACTGAGGCTACAATTTGCACAGGCTCACCAAAATTGGACAATAGAAGATTGGAAAAACATTGCATGGTCTGATGAGTGCTGTGACATTCAGATGGGTTAGAATTTGGAGTCCTTTATGACCACAATGTCCCCATCCTCTGATGGCTACTTCCAGCTGGAAGAGTGGTTCCTCGAGCATGACAATGAGTTCAATGTACTTAAATGTCCTCCACAGTCACCAGAGCTCAATCCAATAGAGCACCTTTGGGATGTGGTGGAACTGGAGATTCGTATCATCAATGTGCAGCAACTGCATGATGCTATTATGTCAATTTAGACTAAAATGTCTGAGCAATACTTCCAGTACCTTATTGAATCAATGCCACAAAGGATTAAGGCAGTGGTCACCAAACTTGTTCCTGGAGGGCCGGTGTCCTGCAGATTTTAGCTCCAACCCTAATCAAACACACCTGAACAAGCTAATCAAGGTGTTACTAGGTATACTTAAAACATCCAGGGGGGTGTGTTGAGGCAAGTTGGAGCTAAACCCTGAAGGGACACCGGCCCTCCAGGACCAGGATTGGTGACCTCTGGATTAAGGCATCTGAAGATAAAAGGGGGTCCAACCCGGTACTAGTAAGGTGTACCTAATAAAGTGGCCGGTGAGTGTATATAAATTAAATTTAGCTCTTTTGAGCTTTCCATTCATAAAGCTGCACAACTATTTTCATTATTGTCATTGAGAAATGTTTAATAATACTTTTGGAATGTTTTTACTGTATTTTCGATCACTTAAATACAGCCTAGATGAACATTAGAGGCTACATACAAACCTTAATCATTCCAAATGCTGTTCACTGAAAAAAACCCTATTTATTTGTTTTTGCTCAATAGTTTTAAGTTAAGTGGTTGCAAACAATTTATTTGAGTGAATTTAAACAAACCAATTAAGTTGAACATTACTACATTTGTTTGTTTAAATACAGCCCATATAAATTGTTGCATTGTTTTTGGTGTATTTACAAAAAAAAAAATTATAGCGTGTATAGCTTGGAAGTCCATTTTAAAAAAAGATAGTTCACCCCAAAGAAGTAAATTCACTCCCATTCCAAATGACTTTTTCTTTTGTTGAACACAAAATTGAATGTCTCGATACTGAATTTCGGTACCAATCAGTATTAAAATATTAATATTAATATTTTTAAATTGTCTATTTTCTGCTAACATTTGAGCAATGTTGGGTGCGACTTAAACAGCGCTGATTTGCCATTGTGTTCACGTGCTCAACGGAAATTACTTATTGGCCATAAAGCTCATCAGTTCCCCGAACTCACCGCTGTTAACTGAGTGCAAACAGAGATACAGGGACACTGGACATTTCAAAGTCGCATCAATCAGCTGGTTTGTCTATGAGCTGACTTGCAAGTGATAACCTGACTGGTCTTCATTGCTTTAAAACGATGTCCCTGTGTTTGTATTTGCACTTGGTGAACAGTGGTGAACTGATGACCTTCATGGCCAATCACAGTCATTTCTGTTGAGCATGTGAACACAATTGCAAATCAGTGCTGTTTAAGAACGCTCTTGAATGTTAGCAGTAAATGAAAGTTTTTAAAATCTGTGTACCGATTGGTACCGAAATTCAGTATCGTGAAAACACTACTTGTAACCATTGACTGCCATGGTATTTTTTCCCCTGCTGGACTTCCCTTTTCGATAATCTTCAAATCATCATGTTTTTGTTCAGCTAATAAAAGAGACTCTTTACATTTTTGAACTGCATGAGTGTGACTAAATGATTGGGAAATTTCAGTTTTGGGTGAACTGTCTCTTTAAGACTGACTCTTTGCTTTGATGGCAAGAGGATTTGAGTGACTGGAGGAAGTTGGATGAGAGAGAGTGCAGGAGGAGAGCTGGAGAGGGACCACACAGTCTGGAATCCTGGGATGTGTCTGAGGAGACATCCTGCAATTTTAGTCAAAAGCCAAACTAAAGCGTTTCCTCTTCCTTGTGCCGCAAACTTTGCCAAAAACAGCTATAAATGTGAGAAACCGTGTCAGTCAGACTTGATTTATTCACTTCATCGGGGAAAGAGATGGATTAAACAGAGCTCTGACCTGTTTTCTTAACGTAAATCCAATTTATATTCAGAGTTTGTATGAGTTAAATAATAAACGTTGTGTTATGTCAAATAAATAGAGTTATTAATAAATATTACCTTAAACGGATCGTTCACCCATGAATGAAAATTTGATGGTTATTTTACTCTCAGGCCATCCAAGTTGTCGATAACTTTCTTTCTTCTCGTTTTTCAGCTGAATGTATAAGGAACACTCCACTTTATTTAGGAAATAGGCTCTTTTTTCAAATCATCTTGAGTTAAACGATTGAGTCTTAATGTTTTCGATTCCATTCAGCCTATTTTCAAATCTGGTGCAAGTACTGTTAGCTTAGCTTAGCATAAATTATTGAATCGAATTAGACCATTAGCATCTTACATAAAGTCAGAGTTTTGATATTTTGATATTACATACTATCTGAAAATAATCCATGTGTGTATAATGTTATTTCCTCGGGAAAAGAGATGGATTAAACAGAGCTCTGACCTGTTATTTTTAACATAAATCCAATTTATATTTAGTTTGTACATGTTAAATAATAAACATTGTGTTGTGTCAAATAAATCGAGTTATTAGAAATATTACCTTAAAGGGATCTTACAACCTTATAATGAAAATTTGATGTTTATTTTACTCTCAGGCCATCCAAGTTGTCAGAATCTTTTTCCCTTTCTTTTTATTTTTTGCAGAATGTTAAAGGAACACTCCACTTTGTTTTTGAAATAGGCTCATTTTATAAGTTAAACGGTTGAGTTTTACCATTTCTGAATCCATTCAGCCAATTTGTAAGTCAGATGTAAGCACTTTTAGCTTAGCGTAAATCATTGAATCGGATTAGACCATTAGCATCTTGCTTAGAGTTTTGATAATTGATATTACACAGGACCTGAAAATAGTCCTTAGGTGTGTAATGTCATTGCATCAGGGAAAGAGATGGATTAAACAGAGCTGTCATCTGTTTTTTTTAACATGAATTCAATTTATATTCAGAGTTTGTGCGAGTTAAATAATAAACATTGTATTGTGTCAAATAAATAGAGTTATTAAGAATTATTACCTCAAAGGGATCGTTCACTCAAATATTGAAAATTTGATGGTTATTTTACTCTCAGGCCATCCAAGTTGTCAAGGAATCTTTTTTCTTTTTCTTTTTTTCCAGCTGAACGTTAAAGGAACACTCCACTTTTTTGTAATTAGGCTCATTATACAAGTCATCTTCAGTTAAACGATTGAGTTTTACCATTTTTTTAAGTCATTCAGCCGATTTTCAAGTTCGGTCTTAACACTTTTAACTTAGCTTAGCATAAATAATTGAATCTGATTAAACCATTAGCATCTTGCTTTAAAAAAAAGTTCAGTTTTTGATAATTGTGAAATTATACACAACCTGAAAGTAGTCCCTATAGGTGTGTGTCATTGAGCCTGCTCCAACCATGGTATGAAAACACAATTCATTGATTATTACACCAGAATGAGAGGATAGTTCCTAGTTCCATATAAACCTAGATAATAGCTATGTTTCATTTTCTGTTGGTCTTATTACATGATATGACTACAGATAAGTCCAGTTATTAATAGGAAAGCTATCAAATTCATCTTTTTTAATTTTTTGAAGCGAGATGCTAATGGTCTAATCTGAGTCAATGAATTATGCTAAGCTAATCTAATCTAATATAAATGTTCTCGCCAGAAATGGTAAAACTCAACAGTTTAACTCTAGGACTCACTTTTAATTGTTATCGTTTGTATATTTGTGGCTAATTAAATTGAGATTTCATGAAGCAAAACGATTGTTCTGTTCAAGAAGCTGGGCATAATTGACAACTTTATTACCTTATTTTAGCGTGCACCGATTTGCAGCTCATAACCGTTGATTCAATAATTTGCCAAAACTGTAAATTTGGCAAAAATATACATTTCTTAAGTGTGTATTTGATTTATTTAATTATTTTATAGCCTAGATCATGCCTTTAGAAAGTATGTTGCAGGAAAAAATGAACCGTTCTTTCACTACCGTCTCTCTCTTAATAATTCACTTTCCAATGCACTTTTCACCCTCTTTTTTTCCAGTGGAATGGCATACTGGATCCAGCTTGTTTTTATTAATCTCAGACTTTTTTGTATATATTTGATGACCGGGGTTGAACAACCCAACTATGCTATTTTGTAATGATTAAACGTTAACTTATTCTGACACGTCGTGCTCATCTTTCCCCTGATGGCTCCCACATGTGTTGATACGCCTTTCTGTGCTCTTCCTCAACTCAAGCCCCTTTGGCATGGCCGTCTGAAACCCAATTCTTCTTTAGGTTGCTCATGTCTAGGGTTTTTTCAGTGTGGTTTTTCCTAACCACCACCAAAAGTTCTGTTTAAAAAGAGAACAAGTTGGAATAACACACATTTGTTTGTGTTTGACTTGTCCATTTAATTCAGCATGAAACTTGGAGTGAGGAAGCTTGTTTTTGTCAGGGAATAAAAAAAAAAGGTAGCTAAAAAGGTTTCAAGATTTGGAGAAAGAAAAAGGTCATTATTGTATGATATTAACTTAAAGTTGTAGGTTACAAGCTCAGGAATCTGATAATAAAATGCCAACATTCTGAGTTGAAATCTTTTTCTTTCTTTTTTTCTTGGAATTGTTACATTATTTTTACGTTTTCAAGTTTGCAGACTTTTTCACAATTCTGTCTGTTAAATATTTTGACTTAATATCTTGCAATTTTGAAATACAGATATAAAGTTGCACATCTTTGAAAAAGAGAGAATTGGAATTTAGGTTTGCATTTCAAAAATTATAGGTATAAATTTAATAGTTGTGTCCTCTCAGGACACAAGATACTATAGAAGTTGTATGATCAGTCTCAAATAATACATAAAATACATTTTAAAAATTCTAAATAAAAATCATACATTCACAGCACGATTCACATTTACAAAATCCAATTTGTGAATTCAAAACAAAATTCATGAATTTACAAATTTTCCATTTACAACATGGATTTGTGTATTTTTAATAGTGTTTTGAATTTTCAATTGGATTTGTGTAGTTTCAAAGCCTGTTTTGAATTTATGAATTGGATTTGTGTGTGAATCGTGTTTTGAATTTTCTAACTGGATTTGTGTAATTTTGAATCGTGTTTTAAATTCATGAGTTGGAATTGTGTAGTTTTTGTGTTTTAAACTTATGAACTGGATTTTGTAAATGTAAATTATGTTGTGGATGTATTAATTATATTTTGTAAATGTTTCATTTTTAGACTTATCTGGACAAAGTTGCACCCCCCCTTCCCAAAAAAAAGTCAGAATTGCAAAATCACAGTTTTGAGAGAAAAAAACAGAACTGCAAGCCTATTGCTCAATATCTGAAGGTTTATTAAATATCTGATAAATTCTTAATTTTGAGGGGAAAGTCAGAAGTGCGAGTTTAGCTTGCAAATTTGAATTATTATAAACTTACAATTTTGACTTTTTTTCAGAATTAAAAATAGCAATTGCAAATGTATAAGCTTTTTTCAATTATGACTATATTTCTCAGGATTCTGAATTCATATAGTTAGTCAGATTTGCTAAGTAAGAACTCAGCATTGCAAGATGGAAATCACAGTTCTGAGAAAAAAATCTGAATAAACTTGACATAAACCTGAAATTGCAAGGTAAAAAAGGGAATTTATATATCTCACAATTTCTTTCTTTTACAATTGCAGAATTAACCTTTTCTCTGAATTGCAACTCTATAATATTTTTTGTCTTTAAAAAGCTGACAGAAGTAAAGTGCCCAACTGAGCCTGGTTTTCTCTTGAGGTTTTTTTCTTTTACTTTTGTCGATTTCTGAAGCTTGTTTCTCGCCACTGTCGCCACTGCCTTGCTTGGTTTGGGTCTTGTGGAACTGTGCATCGATGGATTTGCTCTTCAGTGTCTGAACTTTCAGCAGTGAAAATTAAACCACACTGACCTAAACTAAACTGAACTTCAACTGGACTGACACAGTTTCAATTTGCTCCAACTTCTATGTTAAGCTGCTTTGACACAATTTCCGTTGTTAAAGCACTATAGAAATGAAGATTAAGTAAATTGTGAGATCAAATTTTGAGAAAAAAATTATTTGACTTATTTTAATGGTTCAAATTAGCTTTCAGTAAATTCACTCCTTTAAACTCTCACACTTCATAAAAATATAATAAGCATTTGCAGAGATCAGCCTCTTTACTCATAAGAAAGTATGACTGGTTGTGATCAGTGATGATTAAATACTCCTTTTATTTGTTTGTTTTAAAGCACAGGCCATGTCTTTTCTCTCACATCTGCATGTTATCTGTTCCACTTTTAGTTTCGTGCTCTGGCTCCCATGTACTACAGAGGCTCTGCTGCGGCCATCATCGTCTATGACATCACTAAAGAGGTACTGAAACATTTCTTCGTTATTACCACACAAATCTTTCTTCTGGTAAAGCTATTAAAAGGGATAGTTCACCCAGAAATCAGAGTTCTTTCATCATGTACTCAACTTCATGTCACTTCAACTACATAAGATATATATTTTTCCATGGAACACTAAAAGAGTTATGGGCTGAGGTAAGACTTTCAGTGAAGAGTGGGTTAAAGGAAGACTCCACTGTTTTTGTAAATAGGCTCATTTTACAACTCCTCTAGAGTTAAATGTTTGCGTTTTACTATTTTTTTTAATTCACTCAGCAGATCTCCAGGTCATGTAATAATGGCCATATGGTTTGTTGCAGTGTGGTATAATATAATATTTTTCTCCATTTCCACTATAAAAGGTACCAAAAAACTGAACCATATTGTACTGCCTTTTGGGTACCATTTTAAATAGTACCAGCACAGCAGAACAATACCAAAAGGATGGACTAAGACGCAGATTTTTAAATAGGCGTACACAGCTGAGACAAGAAATAGTAATGTATAACAAGCAATGGTTGACTCGAGCTCAAACAGTCCTTGTTGTTTTCTTTTGACAAACAGCCGCATGGCAAGAAATAAGAAAAGGATCTTCTGTGTGTGTTCTATTGACGTTTACGAGGATTTCTCTCACTGTTTGCGTTCACCCAACACACGTCTATATTTGAAATAATGAACTTGAGATTATGATGATAACTTAAGCGTGATTATTGAATGTCTCTCAGATACGTTTAGAAAAGGACAAATGCGAAAGTAAAGCGAAAAAACAAACGAAACAAACAAGCAAATGATTCTTTCAGCAGACTAAAACCACACAAATAAATAGCTAATTTTATTTTATTTATTTATTTAATTTAATTTAAAAAAATTTTTTTATTTTATTTTATTTTTTATTTTACTTTATTTCATTTATTCATCTATTTATTTTTATTTTAATAATTTTTTTATTATTATTATTATTTCTTTTATTTTTTGTTTTTTATTATAATTGCCTTTTGAAGTATTATGAACTTGGAGTGACAGAATTACTTTTTAACAAGAGGTTACGGGTGCTGAAGAAAAATAAAGATGACAGGTTTGTACAGATTGTAAATATTGTTTTTGAACGCAAATAAGGCCTAGATGTATGTTTTCGGTCATTTAGAAGTAATTGGTAACATTTTGAAGACTGTAAGGTTCTGTATGTGTTCATATAGGCTTTGTTTTATTTATTTTAGTTTTTATATATAGGCTATATCATTTCAGACGTTCTGTAATTCGGACTAGCACAGAACAGCAGCCAGCATAAAATCCTGTTCATAGAAAAGTTATTAATTAACAATTATACTTAGTATTTATTTATATTAAGGATCTTCTCAAAATGGTTGATATGCAACATGTGAACGGTCTGTATGGCTTTACTTTGACTTTTCTTTGAGCGAGCATGACGTTAAACGCAGCATTCTGTCTTACACCACGCCTATACCAAAAGGGTACCATTTGGCAGTGGAGACACAAGACTGAGAAAGGTGACTCGTACCGAACTGTACTGTACTAAACCAAACCACTCAGTGGAAACAAGGCGTAGAAAAAAATGTATATTTCATAGACCAATGTGGCTAGGAACTATACTCTCAATCCAGTATATTAATCAAGGAATGCTATCACATAAAAAATGCATGGAACAATTTTAGAAACTTTTTTTGTTTTTGAACCAGATGCTAATGGTCTAATCTGATTCAATGATCTATGCCAAGCTAAGCTAAAAGTGCTCCTGGCAGACCTATAGATCGGCTGAATGATTCAAAAATGGTAAAACTCTAGGGGAGCTGTAAAAAAAGTCTTTCTTTAAATGTCAGCTTTTTTTCCTTACACAACGTTATCATATGGTTTAAGATGACTTGAAATTGTACACAAATCATATAGGCTACTATAGCATATAGGTGCTTATTGAAGCTTGAAAGCCTTTACTTACTATTTATACTCAGTGGAAAAGAGCAGCTTGGACAATCTGCAAATTAACTTCTTTTGTATGTTAAATAGAAGAAATGGGATGACGTCTGTTTTAAGCAACATGAAGTTCAGTAGATAATGATCTCGAGGTCCACGTAAACGGGAAGTTGCTGAGACTTTTATGTCAGTATGTTGATGCACTTCCAGCTAAAACAGAATATTGAGTAGGGGGCGGGGCTTTCTTTTTACACACCTTCATGGCAAACTAATGGTAAAAGGTGTGTGGTCAGGAATATTGTGTCTGAAGCGTCAAACTGATGTCAACTGAGATGGACCGCCACTCCAAACACAGAAGCAAATGCTCCAAATTTGATTGACATTTACCAAAACAAACTTTTTTTTTTCCAGTGGATTAACTTGCACGGATTCATTCTTCACCTAAAGAATAACAATGTGTGCTAGCAAAATAAATTTGACTTTAAAGTCTAATCATGATGTAGCAGTATCACTTGTCTTCATCTTTCATTCAGGAATCATTCCAGACATTGAAGAACTGGGTGAAGGAGCTTCGCCAGCACGGACCACCCAACATAGTGGTGGCTATCGCTGGCAACAAGTGCGATCTCTCCGATGCCAGGTGAATTCCACCGTCTTTGCCACAAAAGACTCCACATCCTGTCATCTCCATTCAACTTGAAGGGATTCACCCGCAGTGGCTGTCAACTCAATTTGACGTGGGGAAAAGACCCACATATTTGCTGTCAACTTGTCTCGACTCATTGAAAACAAGCACACACACACACATAGCGTTTACCATAAGCATAACTTGTGATGAAAAAGAAATCCACTCTTCAGCGGTCTGTAATTTATCTTTCCACTTTAAATTGCTTCGCTCTTCCCACAGGTCCAATGATATGTCTTGGTTCACCAATGTTTTTTTTGGCAGTGTTAGGCGGCTGTCAGTGCGGTTGTATTTCACTTTTTCGAAACCATAAAGACCCGAGACATTGAATCTGAGGAATAGCCATCACACCGCAAGTCATTCGGGCAATAAATATCAGGGAAAATTCTTGCAATTGTTCTGTCTGGCACATGACGCTTAGATATTTCGTTTTCTGGCACAGCTGGTGCTGTTCTCGGTGATCCACAGACATCATTTATTACACTTTTGAATGCTGAGATTTATTCTTTCTTCACATTTAGTTTTTTAGTTCATGTTTGAGAAATTTGTTCCATAGGTAAATCTGGAAGCTCATTTTGGAAATACAGTTATTAATACAATAATTCCTACTTACAGACATAATACTCTTTAAACTTAAATTAATTAATCATGTAACTAGTATTTTTGTTGGATGTGCAATTTCTGGCTGGTGGAAAAAGAAGGCAAAAATTTAATATACTTGCATTGAAGTTTCCAACACGTATGTTTACATGTCAGTGACACTAAAACGGGAGAACATTCTTTGGCTGTTCTTATGGAGCAAAGTTAGTCTCAAAAGTAATACATTTACAACATATAATTCATACAATCCACAACAGAACTCGTATTTACAAATTCCAATTCACAAAACACGATTCATAAATACACATATTCAATTCGTAAATTTAAGACAGGATTCATAAATACACAAATCCAATTCGGAAATTCAAAACACAATTTGTAAATACACAAATACAATTCATAATTTTAAAACACTATTCATAAATATACTAATCCAATTCAGAAATTTAAAACAAGATTCAGAAATAAACAAATCCAATTCGTAAACCCAAAACACGATTCATAAACACAGTTTCAAAAATTTACAAATCCAGTTCCTAAATTTAAAACACGATTCATAAATACACAAATCCGATTTGTAAATTCAAAACACTATTTATAAAAACAAATCCAATTCATGATTTTAAAACCTGATTCATAAATGCATAAATCCGATTTATAAATTCAAAACATGATTCACAAAAACACAAATCCAGTTCGTAAACCCAATACACGATTCATAAATACACAAATCCAATTCGTAAACTCAGAACACAATTCATAAACGCACAAATTCAATTCATAAACCCAATACACAATTCATGAATACATTAATCCAATTCCTGACCCCAAAACACGATTCATAAACACACAAATCTAATTTGTAAACCCAAAAAATGATTCATAAATACTAGTCGTGGGCCGTTATAGCCATTAACGTGCTGCGTTAACACAAGACTCTTATCGCATGATAAAAAAAATATCGCCATTAATCTATTCTCAAAGTTGGGTTGGGAGCTGGGTCTATTCTAGGCAAGCTATATTTTAGTGCGGATGTATACTTGACCGGTGAGCCGTCTGACAAAAAAGAGCTCTTCTGAATCAAATCCGCAGCATGCCTGACTTTAACTGCAGTTTGGCAGTTTCACATTCACTCATGAACATTTCATTCATGCCGCCGTGACAAACTGGGGTATTAGACGCAAATAAGGAGTAAGGACTGGTGAGAGAGTTATGGAGTTTAAAAACGCACGCCAGATGGAAAGAAAAAAAAACTTCCTCATTTCTCAATGTGTGTTTTTGTGTGCGTATGCGGCCCTTTACTGACAGCTCCATGTGTGGATCTTGATGGAAATTATAGCGAAAAGTCCTACATGACGGTGTTTACTGATTACAGTGTTTACTTCAATAATGCCACCAATATATGCACACTCCACATGTCTTAATTGCATTTCTGTTTAGTTCAGTTATGACTTTAATTGGATTAAGGTGATCAGAAATCGCTATTTCGAGCTTATGTAGGGCTACAGTTCAAAATTCATGTTTACTTAATAAATAGTTAGTAAACACAAGTACATCTTATTGAAAATCATTTATTTTCATCACCAATTGTCATGGTAGAACAGTTTCTCAAGCAGTTTGTGATGCATTTTGGAAATGGGAGATGAGCTCCTGGTCTCATGCGGCACCTTTTTAATTGATGCCCCGCTATAATATATACACAAATCCAATTCGTAAACACAAAACACGATTCATAAAGACACAAATCCAATTTGTAAACTCAGAGCACATTTGAGACTGATTTGGCTCCATACATTATCATTTGTAGGTGAACATTTGCAGTGTAGAGGATGCACTCTAATATGATGACACCAACTTTTTGCATAAGCATCCAAAAAAAGCAACTATTCGATTTGAAATGTTTAAGGAAAACATCACCCTCCAGGGGTTAATCTAAGTGAGCAAAGCATCGCTAGAAAACTGATCCGCTGTCAGTGTGACGGGCCTGAAACGTGTAGCACGGCTGCAATCTGATCAGCACCTGTGATCAGGTGACAGGCACACAGAGAACCAGCACACAATAGATTACCTCCAACAAGCTACTGTGTGCTAGTTATACACCGCCATCACAAAAAAATGCTTGAGCTTTACAAGCTTCAGCCCACTCAGATAATCTCCCACACACATTGGTTACAGCTTAAATGGTAAAAGCTTAAGTTTGAAATCTCTAGAATAAGATCTGCATTCCGTTCTTTGTGAGAGTTTCTAAAAGTGTTGTCATTTATGAAACTGATTACTTTTCAATATGGTGTGTTAGTGCTCACAATTATCAAATATAAAAAGTTGAAGTCAGAATGATGATGTAATTTATTTATTTATTTATTATTATTTTTTTTAGATATTTGCCAAATGATGTTTAACAGAGCAAGGGAATTTTCACAGTATTTCCTATAATATTTTTTTGTCTGGAGAAAGTCTTATTTGTTTTATTTTGGCTTGAATAAAAGCAGTTTTTAATTTTGTAAAACCTTTTTAAGGTCAATATTATTAGCCCCCTAAAGCAGGGATGTGGAGGGCTGCAGCCCTGAACAGTTCAGTTCCAACCCTGCTCCAACACATTTACCTGTAGGTTTCAAACCAGCCTGAAGGACTCAATTAGTTTGATTAGTTGTGTTTAATAAGGGTTGGAACGAAACTGTGCAGGGCTGCGGCCCTCCAGGAATTGAGTTTGACACCCCTGCCTTAAAGCTGTATTTTTTGATTGTCTACAGAAGAAACCATCATCACACATTGACTTGCTCAATTACCCTAACTTGCTTAATTAACCTAATTAATCTAGTTAATCTTTTAAATGTCACTTTAAGCCGAATACTATTATCTTGAAAAATATCTAATAAAATATTATGCACTGTCATCATGGCAAAGATAAAATAAATCAGTTATTAGAAATGAGTTGGGCAAAAAAAAAAATATACAAGGGGGCTAATATATATATATATATATATATATATATATATATATATATATATATATATATATATATATATATATATATATATATATAGATAAATATATACACATACATACACACACACACACACACATATATATATATGTGTGTGTGTGTGTATGTATGTATGTATGTATGTGTAATATGTAGTTGTGTGTGTGTGTGTGTGTGTATATACTGAAATTTTAAAAAGTCTAAACCCTTTGTTAATACAGTGTACAACCAAGCACATGTGGTCAAAACACAAACAAGTTGCAGGTAATAAAGTATTAAGCATTTCTCCCAAAGAAAAGCCCATCTAAGCAAAATGCTAGCAGGCATCTGTAGCTTCGCTTATGCTCCGCCTGTTTGCCCTTGTTTGGTATCCCGCAGTCGGTGCGACGACATGCGAACAAAATGGTGACGATTGGCCACACCTACTCGTAGCTTCTTTTGCGTTCTTCAGAAACCCATGAGTGACAACACAGATACTACCTAAATATCTTTTACAGTCTATGGTTAATGCTCTCAACAGAAATGACTATGATTGGCCGTGAAGGTCATCAGTTCATTAAACTAATTGATTTTTACTGTGTAACCACTGATACAGGGACACTAAAGCATTTTAAAAGCTGTAAAAATCAGTCGGTCTGTTTATAAGCTGACATAGAAGTTATACACTGATAAATCAACTGATCTTCGCAGCCTTAAAAAGCTCCAGTGTCCCTCAATATTTAGTTACACTCAGTAAACAGCGGTGAGTTCGGTGAACTGATGACCTTCACGGCCAATCACAGTCATTTTTGTTGAGCATCTGAACACAATGGCAAATCAGCTCTGTTTAAGAACACTCTCAGCAGCGCTCGAATGTTAGCGGGAAATGAACGTTTTAAAAATCTCAGAACTGATTGGTTTTGAATTCCAGTATCGTGACAACACTATATATTTGTAAAATCTCTTATTTCACCAAGTACTACTTGTTTATTTGTTTTGTTTTTCAGAGAGGTATCAGAGAAGGACGCCAAAGACTACGCTGACTCTATTCATGCTATATTTATCGAAACCAGTGCCAAAAATGCCATTAACATCAATGAGGTCTTCACACAGATAAGTGAGTGAACTAGGTGCATTGCTTCAGTAAAGGAATAGTTCTTCTACAAATGAAAATCTGCAGGTGAAGTGTTAGTTCACACATAAATTTAAATTACTTTATTAATTACTTTTTCTCATGTCGATCCAATCCCCTTCGTTCTGAGACCTTCGTTCAGCCTCGGAAAATATTTTAGATGAAATCCGAGAGCTCTCTCATCCTCTACAGACAGGTACACGGGTATTAACATTGTTTTGCCAGAAATTTTCTTTTTGAACTCTCTAATTGGTGGTAACATTGGTATTGCATTGCATGAATGTTGTGCTGAAGAAAAAAAAGATCAATATATAACCAGCAGATTTTCATCTTTAAGTGAACTGTCTCTTTAACAAGAACATTCATTCATATCTCTGATTTTTAATTGTTTCTGTCTTTCCTTGAGTGAGCTTCTTAATCAAGCAGGTTTATTGCAACTCCCATCTATTATTAAAATGATAATGAATGCATGATCTATAATTGATCCGGATGGTGGTGAGAATAGTGCTTCGGTGGATACTTGTTCTTGCCACTTGGACCCAGGGCGGTGGATGGGTTACAGTGGATACAGATCTTTTACCATTGAGCTTGGCAGTTTCCCCATTGAGGAACAAGCTTTCTTGTGTGGAGCCAGATCAGTCTTAAAAATAACGCATTTACAAAAAACAAGCAAACATGCATTCCTTGATACAACACACAATTCGTGAATTTACAAGTAAAAATCTTAAATATTTTTGCAGAATGAATTGGATTTTTGTGTGTTTTTGAATCGTGTTTTGAATTTACGAATTGGTTTTGTGTATTTATGAATCATGTTCTGAATTTAGGAATTGGATTTCTGTATTTTTGAATCTTGTTTAAATGTATGAATTGGATTTGTGTATTTATTAATCATGTTCTAAATTTTTTTATTTATATTTGTGTATTTTTGAATCGTGTTTTAAATTTATGAATTGGATTTGTGTATTCTTGAATCATGTTTTCAAATTACGAATCGGATTTTAGTGTTTATGAATCGTGTTTTGAATTTTTGAATTTGATTTGTGTATTTATGAATCGTGTTTTAAATTTACGAATTTGATTTGTGTATTTATGAATCGTGTTTTGAATTTATGAATTGGATTTGTGTATTTATGAATCGTGTTTTTAATTTACAAATTGGATTTGTGCATTTATGAATTGTTTTTTGTTGGATTTGTGTATTTTTGAATAGGATATGCATTTTTTTTAATCCTGTTTTGTGAACTTGCTTTGGATTTTGTAAATGTGAATTGTGTTAGGAATTATATTTTGTGAATGTATTCTATTTTAGACTGATCTGGCTCCATATCTGGTGGTTGCATGACATGGTTTTTGTGACTTCTAAAACAAACAAATCAACCCTTATACACAATGTTGTCATTCTCATTTTAATTTTTGTCTTTTTTTACAGGTGAAAGGATCCCGGTTTTAGATGCGGAGGGCGGGTCTGCAGTCAAGGGTTTTAAACTCCGTCGCCAACCATCAGTATCGACCAGAGAACGCACTTGCTGCTGACGCCTTCATAAAAAAGCCAGATCCTCTCCAGCCTTTCACCCCTATTTCTCTTAGTAACCAAGAAGAATAGCAAATGAAGAATGTGATGTCATTGGGGAAGTTACTTAACGTCACTTCCTTTTGGAGCCAAATACAAATTGCAGTTAAGAATAGAATGAGATTTTACATTCTGAATCCCAGTGCAATGTTCACTTTTTGTGAGAAAGAGGAAAATGTACAGTTGCTGTACCTTATTCAGATTCATTTCTGTTCTAGATCTCAACCCAGATTCAAACAGCAACAAAACCACTCGCTTAACAGATCAGATGCTGTCCTACTCTATGTAGTTTGACTATATGAGTGTAGGTTTTAAAGGTTTCAGCACTCCAGATGCAAGCAACACAGCTTTCTTGTCTTACTATTTTTGCACATCTTTATATGATGAAAATAAATCTCATAAACATATTCAGGTCATATTATACTCAAATCACATATAATAATTATATATTTTTTTGCATAATGTAAAGTTAACGTCTGGTATTAGGACTAATGTGTTTATAATATAATAACTTTTAGTATAAAATAGTAACACATTGCTGTATAATAATATTTAAGAGAAATAAAGAACAGTACAGCTATATAATTGTGCTTAATTGCAGAAAATATTACTTTAAATAATATGTGGCATGAACATGTTTACATGAGATTTTCTCCAGTTTGTTTGTATTTGTGTTGCACATTACCGGACACAAGGCTGTGTGCGCTTTCATTTATATTTTGTATATGAAAAATAAAACTATGAGGCAGTTCTACACATTCAGATAAAGATAACTCTGGGATTTATTTGGTGGATATTAATATGTGTTAGTTAGAGGAGTCTGAGCCTTTACCAACAGCTCTTTTTCAAGATGAAGTTATATTTACAGTTATATATATATATATATATATATATATACACACACACACACACAAAAGTGCCAAATCTTAAAAAAAATAATCTCTACTAGCTCTATAAAGCTTATTTTTTGGTGAAATAGTAGGAGTTTAATGCAGATCTTGTCGATCAATAGGTTAACAATGATGTGTGAGTTCAGCATTGCAGATTTAATCATGTATTCACGTATTGATTTAACAATAGTAACAGATGTTTTGTTAGCCAAAAACGATTGCCAGATCCTTAACTAAAAATTCAACTTTTTTCTAGACTAACAAACAGGTCAAATAGACTTTTATGTGTGCTGTTGCATGTCCATTATTAATGATTGCAGTACATAATTGGGCAATAATGTACAAAAATAGCAGTTTTATAGTATTAGATGTGCTTCTCCAACTGTTTTTTGTATTTTAACTCTGATGTTAGTGGGTATGAGCCAAATGCCTGAATTCTAGTGCATTTTAGGCTTTTTTCCAGCACTCTTTGTGTCCATTACGTCCGTGTGAAATAGCATTTTAACCATTTGTGTTAGTTGGCAGTCTGTCTCCTTCTGTTCCTTTTATTACATTTTACTGGATTGAATGATTTAGTGAGGTCTTGCCAAATTGTCTCATAAACATTTTTCATCCCTTACTGAATAACGTTTGGCCAGCACATCTTACTTGCTTTTATTATCTGGACAGGGATTTAAAAAAAAAAAAGAAAGAACTGTATCTGGAAACTAGTCTTGTTTCAAACAACAAGACATCTAAACTCTTTAAAGTTATTAGGCGATACCAAATATTTTGCTGATGCTCAATTTTTCAGCCTCAATGTTTTCATTAGAGCCTATAACAGCTTAAAAAAAACAACTTAAATGGATAGTTCACACAAAAATGAAAAAGTACACCATATTTACTCTCCCTCAACTCAAGTGTTTCCAAGCCTTTATAAGTATTTTATTTTGTTGAACACAAAAATATGCATTTCAAATAAAACTGAAATCCTATCATCATTGACTACCATAGGAAAAACAACTGTAGAAGTCAATGGTTACAGATTTCAAGCTTTCTTCAGAATATCTTCTGTTGTGTATAACAAGAGAAAGAAACTCATAAAGGTTTGAAACAAGTGAAGGATCAGTAAATGATGACAGAATTTACATTTTTGTGGTGAACTTTCCCTTTAAGAATTGTTCATTGCTCATCTTATTATTGACAATCTTAGAAACTTGCATTTAAAAATGCTGCACACTGTTTGTTGAAGTGCATTAACATAATGGTTTCTCTATGTAGAATATAGATTAACAACCAATTGAACATTATCTGTTACAATTTCGACTTGTATGTGAATAATATAACATTTTTGAATTGTCAATTGCGTGCCCACAATAACAAGAATACAATGTGCTTGAATTGTGTTTTATCTAAATGTACATGTCAGTGTAATACACAACAGCATATTCTGCTAGTATGTCGCTTCTGTAGTTTCTCATATGTTTTGGTACTTTAAAAGTCTGTCATGGATATTATTACACATGCATTAGGCACATTATGTGTGTTCAAAATGGATATTTTGGGCATTTCATTTCCCGTCCTTTGTACTGTGATTATATTTGCGGAGCTGCCAGTGCACGCCATGTTTTCAGGAACTCACAAGTGCAATAATTATACTTTCCCCTCCAAAATATGTGCTGTCAGTAATAAAAGCAGAGAGATTTATAGACTTATTACAGTAATTGTAGTTAACCTCTGACTTTTAGCTCAACAATATTTTCCTTTAGAAGATAAAAAGGAGGATTACTTGGAGTGTTTATAGAGGAAAAGTACACTTTAAACAATACTGTAAAAATGTGCAGTAATTTTACCGTAAATTGTAATTATTTATTTGCAGCGTGCTTGTAAATTTACAGTCTTACTGGCAAACAAAAAATATCAGTAAGTTACTGCTAATTTAACTGTAAACTGCCATTAATAATTAACAGTGCACTTGTAAATTTAGTCTTCCTGGAGACCAAGGTTGCCAGGAAGTTACTATAAATTTTACAGTAAATTATAATTATTAATTTACAGTGCGCTTGTGAAAGTACAGTCTTGCAACCAAAATTGCCGGTAATTTACTGTAAGTTTTATACTAAATTTAATGATTAGTTTGCAGTGAGCTTGAAATTTAAAGTCTTACTGGCAACCAAAATTGTTAGTAAGTTACTGTTAATTTTACAGTAATTTGTAACTTTACAAGCACACTGTAAATTATTGTCTTTCTGAAAATCAAAATTGTCATCAAGTTACTGTAAATTTGACAGTAAATTGTAATTATTAATTTACAGTGCGCTTGTAAACTTATAGTCTTCCTGGTGAACAAAATTACCAGTAATATATTGTAAATTTTATACTTAGTTTAATTATTATTTTACAGTGCACTTGTAAATTTAGTCTTTCTGGCAACAAAAAATTCCAGTAAATTACTGTAAATTTTACAAAAGATTGTAATTATTAATTTACAGAGTCCTTGTAAATTTAAAGTCTTGCCACCAAAATTGCAGGTAATTTACTGTAAATTTTGTACTAAATTTAATTATTAATTCACAGTGTGCTTGTAAATTTACAGTTTTACTGGCAACCAAAATTGTTAGGAAGTTACTGTAAATTTTACAATAAATTGTAATTATTAATTTACAGTGCACTTGTAAATTCACGTGTATGTCTTCTTTCTGAACAAGATTGCCAGTAATATACTGTAAATTTTATACTAAATGTAATTATTTATTTACAGTGCATGTGTAAATTTACATTCTTCTTGGCAACTAAAATTGTAAGTACAGTAAATGTTACAGTAAATTGTAATTACTATTTTAGTGCATTTAGAAATTTACAGTTTTACTGGCAAATAAAATTGCCATTAATTTACTGTGAATTTTTACAGTAAATTGTAATTACTAATTTACAGAGTGCTTGTAAATTTACAGTCGTACGGTAAGTTACTGTAAATTTTACTGTATTTTATTTACAGTTGAACTTTTATTCTCTATTGGCATTAACACAGAGAAAACCCTTCAAACGTATTCTTTCAATGGCTTTTGTGAAAAACTAATTTATCTTTCTCTCAAACAAAGGTTTTCTTTCCATCATGTCAAGCTGATCACAAAAGGAAACATCTCTCATTTATTAATCTCACTGAAGGGCCTTTACGATGCATTGAAATGGTAAAAATATTTTGCCTTGTGCAAAACCTGTGGTTCACTTATCCAGTTGCTTATTGGGGAACACAGGCTTTGCATTAATGTCTTTGAATGGATCTACATGCTACACTTGAATGGGATTCTTCGATGTGCTGTCTGGTGTAGTTTGCATTGGTCGTTTAGGTTGAAAAGCAGTGCCAACAGTCTTGGGCTGGCCCTAAGAAAGTTGTGAATTACATCCTTGTAGATAATACCACACATTGGATGAACTGTGTAAATAAACAGAGATGCAGTCAGGCAATTGTTATATACTTTACCACAGCTTGCCAATGTAATTCAGCATACACAGACGTAAATTAACCAATGTTTTTTTGTCATTTATCTATGTGTCTCTATTATTTTGTCTTGCGGAGAAGGCTTGGAATTAACATGTTTTTTGTTCGTTTGTGAATGTGCAAAAGGGAATTGTTCGGCTCTTTATTAATAATAAAATGATATGAAATTTAAAATGCACTGATTATTTTTTGTATTGGTTTAAATTCAATCGGAGAAAAGTGCAAATGTCTGCCTTGAGTTCAGAGGGATTGTGGATGTGTTCTGCGCTGGCTGCTGGGCTATATATATAAATATGACACTTGTGGTATGTGTCTCCTTTGGCAGGGGGTCTGTGCTGATCTTTTAATTGTGCTGAGGAAAGTAAAACGAGCGGCCCTTTAAGAACTGCCAGTCCGAGCATAAATTAACTCTGCTAATTCTGCAATTAACAATGCGATCTAGAAACTTGGCTGGGGAAAACCTAATTCATGTTAATTCTTAGATTCCTTTGGATTTTTGCACTGCTTTTGAGGAACAAACTCTATTAAATAATATATCAGCAATAGCAGTTTAATGCTATTAAAGAACATTTTTGTTTCCTTCATAAACCTTTTCTTTAAATAGCAGAGAACCTTGAAATAGACAGATGATAAATGTTCTTGTATGGCAATAAAGATCCTTTGTTTTTAAGAGTGCAACATCATTATGCAACCTTTACAATTTGATTTGCCATTTTTTTATTTGAATCTGAAAAACATTCTAATATCTACATAAAAAGTCAAAATCTTTAGAGAAGTACGACTATATTTCAGTAGTATATGAATAACTTGATGTTTGATAAATGTAAGCATTTTGGTTACTTTTTTAACTTTAATTATGTCTTTTTATAAAAACATTTAATTGCATTTATTGTGGTGTATCTTTAAAATGCATGCATAACCACACATACTCACCGGCCACTTTATTAGGTACACCTTACTAGTAATCCTTCGTGGCATAGATTCAACAAGGCACTGGAAATATTCCTGAGATTTTGGTCCATATTGACATGATAGCATCACACAGTTGCTGCAGATTTGTTGGCTGCACATCCATGATGTGAATCTCCCATTCCACCACATCCCAAAGATGCTCTATTGGATTGAGATCTGGTGACTGTGGAGGCTATTTACGTACAGTGAACTCATTGACATGTTCAAGAAACCAGTCTGAGATGATTCACGCTTTATGACATGGCGTGTTATCCTGCTGGAAGTAGCCATCAGAAGATGGGGACACTGTGGTCATAAAAAGAGATGGACATGGTCAGCAACAATAATCAGGTAGGATGTGGTGTTTACACGATGCTCAGTTGGTACTAATGGGTCTAAAGTGTGGCAAGAAAATATCCCCCACACCATCACACCACCACCAGCCT